TCCTCCTCCTCCTCCTCCTCCTCCTCCTCCCCGTCTCGCTTGTCCTCCTCGTCCGGCTCCTCCTCCTCTCCCTCGCCAGGCTCCCACAGCACCGCCTCCCCGCCCAGGCGTTCGCCTTCCGGGGGCTCGGAGCGGGCTGCCCGCGGAGCTGGCCCCGCGTGCGGCGGGGTGCGGCCCCGTGTGCAGCCGTGGGCGCCTCGCTGGCGCCCCTCGGCGCCCGCCTCGCTGCAATGGAGGCGCGTCGAGGTGCCGCCCGGCGGGCGGCCTCGCGGGCGCCGCGCGCGTGCTGGCCTGGGCGTGCCGCTGTCCTCGCCTGGCGGGGGCGGCCGTCGGCGCCTCGCGGGCTTCCCACTTGCCGGCTGGGCGTGCCGATCGTTCGCCTGGCGATCGGCCGAAGGCGCACGGCGGGCGCCTCCCGCCGCCTGCGCCAGGTCGCTGGACCAGCACAGCGCGTACGCCCTTCTGCTGGCCCATCGGAGCGCGCACCGCGGAGCTCGCACGTCCTATATCTTACACCACCTGGCCTGCACAACGCAGCTTGCGTCCCAGAGCGTGCATCACGGTGCTCACGCCAGATGGCGTGCACCGCACCTGCACTGCTCCACACGTCTTTCAGCGCGCATAGCTTGCATGCTATCGCGTGCACTGCCTAGCTGACACACCCGGGGTGCAATAGTTCGGTAGTCCTACGCTGGCAAGCACGCCATGATGGCCTGCATAATGAGCAGCAGCGCAATTAGGGTCTGCTGTGAATCCCCTCTGCTGAGAATAGCGCTGTCTCCCCATACACGTCTGCACGTGTATAATACAAGCGCGTGCTAATCAACCGTGCCTCACTGGAATCGTGCACACATGAAGCAGTTCGAACTGGCCCACAATTTACAAGATAAGCACTTACCTTCTGATTCCACTTGAATGTTTCCTGCCCCTACAAGTCCCACGCCACCTCCTCCGCATCCTCCTCATAATCCTCATTCGCATCCGCCTCCATCCTCCCTATCACCACCCGCAACCTCCACAACCTCCATATCGTCGTCGTCCTAATCCTCCTTCTCAGGCGTCTTCCGTTCAGTCCACGTTCCCGCATCCTTACACGAATCATCACCAACATCATCATCATCATCATCATCATCACCATCATCATCATCATCATCATCATCATCATCATCATCATCATCATCATCATCATCATCCTCATAGTCAACAACATCAGCATCATCAGCATCACCATTATCATCATCATAATCATCGCCGTCGCCATCGTTATCATCATCGTCAGCATCAGCAGCATCATCATCAGCACCATCATCAATATCATCATCACCACCACCACCACCATCGTCAGCATGACCGGCATCAGCACCAATATCAGCACCTTCACCAGCATCAGCATCATGATCACCATAATCATCAGCATCATCATCATCAGAGGCAGCATCATCACCACAACCATAATCATCACCACAGCATCATCACCACCAGCATCATCATCGCCATCGTCATCGTCGTCATCATCAGCCTGATCATCAGCATCAGCATCAGTATCATCATCAGCAACAGCAGCATCAGCAGCAACATAATCAGCATCAGCATCATCAGAAGCAACATAATCAGGAGCAGCAGCATCATCACATTCATCATCAGCATCAGTAGTACTACCATCAGCATCAGCACCAGCATCATCATCCGCATCATGATCATCAGACGCATCATCGTCAGCATCAGCATACGCATCTGCATCACCAGCAGCATCAACATCAGAATCATCAACATCAGCAGTATCATCATCATCGCTATCATCATCATCATCATCATCATCATCATCATCATCATCATCATCATCATCATCATCATCATAATCATCATCATCATCATCATCATCATCATCATCATCATCATCATCATCATCATCATCATACGTATCAGCATCATCAGCATCATCATCGTCATCATCAACGACAACAACTTTACCACCGTCGCCATCACCTTCACTGTCATCGGTATCGTCTTCGTTATTGCAGTCATCCACCCTCGCCGTCATCATTACCATCGTCCGTAACATCACCATCAGTATGACTGTGGCTACCCCCAGTACCAGCACCAGCACCTTCACCATCACCAGCAACATCGCTATCACCAGGCACAATAACACATCAGCAAAAAAACATCGTCGTCACCATCATCAACGACCTTATCACTGACGTCACCATCGCCAACAATCACTGACATCACTTACATCGCCAGAACAATCCCTATCAGCCTCGCAACCGTCATCATCATGAGCACCACCAACACAACCAGCACCAGCATCATCATCGTCATCGTCAGCATCATCGTCATTATCATCAGCATCATCATGAGCATCAACATCAGCATCAGCATCAGAACCATCATCCTCGAAGTCATCATGGTTCTTGTCCACACCGACAGCATGTTCCACACCAACAGCACCATCATCATCATCAGCAGCAGCAGCAACAGCATCATCATCATCAGCATCATCCTCATCATCAGCAACAGCATCATCATCATCGTCATCATCATCATCATCATCCACATCACAATCATCGTCAGCAACGTCACCACCATCATCGAACATTATTCTTAGCATCACCCTCACAATCATCGTCATCATAATCGTCACCATCATCATCATCCTCATCATCATCATCAGAATCATCATCACCACCACCATCAGAATCCTCATCATCAGCAGCCGCGTCCTTACCGTCCCACCCGCATCCTGCTCATCCAAAACCCAAGCGCCTCCTCCTCCTCCTCCTCAGCCCCCATCCCCTGCATCTCCCCCATCACCTCCTCATCCAACGCCACGACTCCTCATCCCAATCATCACAATTATCTTCAGCATCGTCATCACTATCACCATCGGAAAACTCGACCTTCTCCTCGCCCCCTCCCATCTCCCCTCGTTCCTGCCACCCGTTCCTCGCCACACGCTCGCCTTAGGCTCCTTGCCCAACCTCCCTACGCACAGCCTGTAGGCCTCGTCGCTGCTCTTGTGCGGCAGGCCCGGCCCGGCCCAGGGCCAGAACTCGAGCCTGGAGGCGCCCAAAAACCACGCCGACACGGCGAGATCCGCCCCCTCTCGGGAGGGCGAAGAGAGGGGGGAGCACGAGCAGATTGCAAACTATCCCACGTGGCGGTTGCGAGGAGAGGGATCAGAAGAAGGGAGGACGGTAGTAAAAGCAAGGAGAGGGAGACGGCGGGGCAGGAGGCGGGGCCATGGGAGCTACTGGCCCAGAACAATGTGCATCAGAGCCCCCCTGCCCGACTTCCCCCTCCCCCTCCCCCTCCCCCTCCTCCCCATCCCACTCCTCACCCACCCTCCTCCTCCTCCTCCTCCTCCTCCTCCTCCTCCTCCTCCTCCTCCTCCTCCTCCTCCTCCTCCCTCCTCTCCCTCTCCTCCTCCGCCTCCTCCTCCTCCTCCTCCTCTCTCCTCCTCCTCCTCCTCTCCTCCTCCTCCTCCTGGTCCGCATCCTCCAACTCCTCCTCCTCCTCCTCCTCTTCCTCCTCCTCATCATCCTCCTCTGCGCTAGCTCTGGGACAGTTCCAGTGCTACCCCGCTCATGCGCAGGAGATGTCAGGAGAATCCAGGCGCGACGGGGGCGGGCAGCCACCAAAAAGGGCGGCCTGGGCCCCGTCAGAGCTCAAGAGATACTCCTCCGGATCTGGCCCGCTCACGGGCCCGGGCCTGGGAGCCGAGGGTCAGAGCCTCGACGACGGTACGTCCAAAGAGCTCCAGACCCTGCTGAATGTCATTACCTGGGGCATGTCTGCGACCGTAAAACTTCGTGGTCGACTGCTGCGAACGGCCCTCGAGCCCCGACTCCTGCCGGCATCCTCGGAGGCCTTCCGGAGGGGCAACCCAGAAGTCCACGGCCCGAGCGCTCACGCCACCCGCGTCGCAGACCGCAGGCGCGGAGCGTGGAAAAGGAGGAGTCGGGAGGAGGAGGAGGAGCAAGAGGAGGAGGAGGAGGAGGAGGAGGAGGAGGAGGAGGAAGAGAAGGAGGAGGAGGAGGAGGAGGGAGGAGGAAGGAGGGGGTGGAGGCCCTTGGAAATCCTGATGAGGTTCTCGGGCCCCGTGACGGCCTTCGCCCTGCACGGCCCCAGAGGCTCGCACCGACCCTTGGCATGGCACGCATTTGCTTCCGCAGCTCGTGCATTTCACCCGTGGACTTCATCCCTCTTCCCGGGGTCGGCTGCATGGCGTCCGTCTCTCGAATCGTGTCCCACCCTCCTCCCCCATCCTCCCCCTCCTCCCCCCTCCCCCGCCCTCTCCCTCCGTCCCTCCATATCCGCTCCTCGACCGCCTCGCCCCACCCCAAGGAGGACAAGAGGAGGGGAGGCAAGCCAGGTGCGCTCGCGCCATATCTGACGTCCCTACCCCCCCGAGGAGGAGGAGGAGGAGGAGGAGGAGGAGGAGGAGGAGGAGGAGGAGGAGGAGCAGGAGGCGGAGAAGGCGGAGGAGGAGGATTTGTTTGACGTCCACGGCCAAGGACCCTGGCGACAGGGCGTGAAAGGGCGGCAAAAGCCAAAACCGCTCATGCCCGCCTCGAAAGAGCTCTCGACACGGTTGGTCGGAGGAGCCAGACTCTTCACCCGCATCCAGAACGGGGGATGGCATTGCCGGGCTCTTGACTACCGTGCGGGCTCTGACTCGCAGAGACCCTCTCTCGGGCGAGGAGGCTGCGGCCGCGGCTCCCGCTCTGACAGCGGGGGGGCACGCGGCCTCTGCGAGAAGACGAGAAGAAGCTTCCTCCTAAGCGTCGAAATCAAGGCCATCCGCGGAAGGCGGAGGCGGACCTGATGCGTCCGAGATTCCCTTTCCCCCAAGCCGCTCACCCCCGACTCCCCCTGCCACAGGTAGGCGAGGCAGCACAGAGGAGGCAGGGCGATCCTCGGCAGGGAAACCAACTCTCGCGGCGGCTTCCGACGTCGGCGACCTGCCGATCGGCATGGCCGTCTCGAGGTCGGCGCGGACTCCCTTCTTCTTGTGGTCAGGGTGTAGTCCGCGGCCCAATCTGGACAAGACTTCGCTGCGCTTTGGCGGGTGTTCAAGACATTGCTTGGCGAGGCCTCGGAGCTGCACTCCAGAGGTAAAACAATGGCAGGACTGGCAGGCACACGCAAAGCTGCCGTCCGAGAAATCAATCACCGCGCAGCGGCGGCCCAACTGGCGTAGCGAAGCAGGGTCCACCTTCAAGACCCTGCTGCAGACACCGTCGGGAGGCTTCGAATTACAACGTGAGACCCTGAGGCAATGGGGGCACTGCCAGAAGCTGCCTACCCAACTCCATTCATTGGCGGGACCCGAGCTCCTCTGAGGTCGAGCTGCAGCGGGTGTGCGCTCAACTCCCGTGAGGCCCGTGCGAGGCCACAAACACATAACTTTAGCCGCAAGTTTGGTGACAGCCTTTGAGACAGAGATGAGGAAAGAGAAGCTATCTCGCTCCTCGTCACTGAAATCTGGGTGGAGAAGCGCGCCCGCCCTGGCCGCCTCATCTGCGGCGTTGTTGCCGATGATGTGAGCACGCTCGGCTGCTGGCAGGTCTGCGTCATCTTCCCGATGCGCCTTCACCTTTGTGACGGCGCGCAACATATTGCCAGCGTAGAAATCACATTGCATGAAGAGACCACTGTACGGGCGTCGCAAAGAGAGTCTCTGTTCACGGCTCTTGCCGTGTTGGTTCACAACCACTTGGCAGTCACTGAAAAACTCGGCTGGACCACTGAGCACGCTGGCCGCGGACGTGGGGGCTGCGAACTCAGCCGCGACTCTGGTCTGGGGGAAATAGCTGCCTAGGGCCCCATACATGCGGGCAAGGACCTGTCACGAATCTCCAACCAAAGCGGCACCCCAACCAGCTCTGGAAAGGTCCTTGATCACATGGCGGGTGCACGAGCCATCCAGATATATAGCCCCCCTCAAAGCCCTCTCCCCAACGGGCGGAACTTCTAAACCTTCGGCCTCGAAGGCCTCGGGGTAGGTCTGGAAAACCACATTTTCCAAAGCATCCTCGAGGCTCATGGGCCCAGGGAGGCTCACGGCAGGGTGCGGAAATAAACCAGTCTCACAAACAAAAGCCAGGCCAGGCGTGGTGCCTTCGCCTACACTGTGCAGTTTTGTTATCCGTCCGCCGACGGGTGCCATCGCGGACCTGGCACTCCGAAGGGGGACCCCTTTATCGTACTGTGCGCAATCGGGACAAAGGGAGCTGAGCACATTGGAGGAGGAGGGCGAGCAGGAGGAAAATTACACCAGAGAAAATACCCAATCAGTGGATGGTTTCTGCTGAGGTGATCGACCAGGAACCCGGAACCCCGGGATTCCAGAACCCACCGAAATCGGCCCGGAACTAATAACCGGGAACCCGGGAACCCGGGAACCCAGCCTGCCACCAAAATCGGCGGGAAACTTCCGCCGAATCTTTCAACCTCCGCTAGGAAGCACTGATTGGGGAAAAAGGAGGCTGAGGGAGGAGGAGGACGAGGAGGACGAGGACGAGCAGCAGCAGAAGCAGCAGCAAGAGTGGAAGCAGCGGGAGGAGCAGGAGGACCAGAGGAAGGCCGGTTGGGAATGAGAAGGGCGACATCGGTGAGAAAGGACCAGGATGAAGAAAAGCGGCCCGCGCTGCGGCGAGAGCGCCCATGAGAACGACGGGAGCAAAGCGCCGACCTGAAAATGAGGCCCACGCTGAAGCCACAACACCAGTTCCTCCTCCTCCTCCCTCCTCCTCCTTCCTCCTCCTCCTTCCTCCTCCTCCTCCTCCTCTTCCTCCTCCTCCTCCTCCTCCTTAGGCCTGTCAGCAGGGTGGGGGAGGCCCTTGCTCGAGTTTTCGGGCGGATGGCCGCGGCGGAAGATGAGGACGCCGGCCCCGCGCCGGCGGCGGCCGCGGCCGGCGCCGCAGCGCCGAAGCACCGGAAACAATCGGAGTGTACTCTGTAAGAACGGTTTTTTGAAGGCAGATCTGCCTTCAGAAAACCATTTTTGAAGGCAGATCTGCCTTCAAAAAACCGTTCTTACATTGAAGGCAGATCTGCCTTCAAAAAACCGTTCTTACAGAGCATCGTGAAGGACTGCACCAAAGGCAGCTGCTGGTAGCGCAAGGCAGGCGGTCAAACTAACTAAGGGGAAGGGGCTCGCCAAACGGCTGCGGCAGGCCCGTGTCGTGTGTCCGTTTTTTCGGCGCCGGTGCCTGCCTCCGAGGGGAACGCTCAATCTTTACCGATCGGCCGTTCCCCAAACGTCCGATCGTTCCACATCGACCGAGTCTGGGTTACTCTGTAAGAACGGGTTTTTGGAGGCAGAGCTGCCTTCAAGAAACCGTTCTTTGAAGGCAGATCTGCCTTCAAGAAACCGTTCTTTCCGAGGGGAACGATCAATCTTTACCGATCGGCCGTTCCCCAAACGTCCGATCGTTCCACATCGACCGAGTCTGGGTTACTCTGTAAGAACGGGTTTTTGGAGGCAGAGCTGCCTTCAAGAAACCGTTCTTTGAAGGCAGATCTGCCTTCAAGAAACCGTTCTTTCCGAGGGGAACGATCAATCTTTACCGATCGGCCGTTCCCCAAACGTCCGATCGTTCCACATCGACCGAGTCTGGGTTACTCTGTAAGAACGGGTTTTTGGAGGCAGAAGCTGCCTTCAAGAAACCGTTCTTTGGAGGCCGCGGCCGTTTGTTCCACAACCGACTGTAAGAACGGGTTTTTTTTCAAGAAACCGTTCTTTGAAGCATCTGCCTTCAAGAAACCGTTCTTTCCGAGGGGAACGATCAATCTTTACCGATCGGCCGTTCCCCAAACGTCCGATCGTTCCACATCGACCGAGTCTGGGTTACTCTGTAAGAACGGGTTTTTGGAGGCAGAGCTGCCTTCAAGAAACCGTTCTTTGAAGGCAGATCTGCCTTCAAGAAACCGTTCTTTCCGAGGGGAACGATCAATCTTTACCGATCGGCCGTTCCCCAAACGTCCGATCGTTCCACATCGACCGAGTCTGGGTTACTCTGTAAGAACGGGTTTTTGGAGGCAGAGCTGCCTTCAAGAAACCGTTCTTTGAAGGAAGATCTGCCTTCAAGAAACCGTTCTTTCCGAGGGGAACGATCAATCTTTACCGATCGGCCGTTCCCCAAACGTCCGATCGTTCCACATCGACCGAGTCTGGGTTACTCTGTAAGAACGGGTTTTTGAAGGTAGATCTGCCTTCAAGAAGCCGTTCTTTGAAGGCAGATCTGCCTTCAAGAAACCGTTCTTTCCGAGGGGAACGATCAATCTTTACCGATCGGCCGTTCCCCAAGCGTCCGATCGTTCCACATCGACCGAGTCTGGGTCGCTGGCGGCGCTCCAGGTGGGACGCCGGCGGCGGGGTTGCCGCCGGTCGACACGGCGCGCAGCTGCCGTCAGGCGTGCGTGGGGAGGACGGCGCAGCAATGCCGATGGGGTCGCAGATGTCTGAAGAGGCCCAAGGACACGCAAATAAGTACACACGAATGAAAGGATTCCCCATATCTTCCTATAGTTTCTGCATTTTTGTCTTCCCCCCCACTTCCCATCTTTTCCCATATTTTCTGGGGAATCGACGATTAATTGTGTCTGCGTGTTTTTTCCCCTCCTGAATGTCGGCGGTTACGGCTGACCTGCGCGTCTGACGGCGCGGCCCCGGGGAGCAGCATGCGGCGGGGCCTGCGGTGGAGCTCCCTGTGGGGCCACGAGACGTGCGAGGCTGTCCCGACATGGGCGCGGCCAGGCAGTCGGTTCCTGGAGGTGGGGCACTCGGTGGAGCTCCACATGGGGCCACGAAGCGCGTGAGGGGTGCGCCCAAATGGGCGCGGTCACGCATGCGATTCCTGGAACTGCAGCCTTCGGTGGAGCCCCCTATGGGGCCACGAAACGTGGGGGGGTGCGCCGAAATGGTGTGGAGAAGGCATGCGAACGCAGCCACTGGGGTACTCGGTGGAGCTCCGTAAGGGGCCACAAAGTGTATGAGGGATGTGCCGAAAGGAGTGCGGGCGCAGCCACTGGGGCAACGAAGGGTGTGAGGAGGCGCCGAAAGAGTGTCGAGAAGGCATACGAACGCAGCCTCTGGCTCCTCAGGTGAAGCTCATTACGTGGCCACGAAACGTGTGAGCGGTGCGCCGAAATGGTAGAAAGCATGCGGACGCAGCCACTGGGGCCTCCAGTGGAGCTGCCCATGGGGCTACGAAACGTGAGGCGTGCGCCGACATGGCGTAGGCCAGGTGTGCAGACCCAGCCACTTGGACCTGAGAGGGACGTCCCCATGGGGCCACGAAGCGTGTCATGGGTGCGCCGACATGGCGTGGACCACTGAGGTGGAGCGTCAGATGGGGCCACGAGACGTGTGAGGGGTGCACCGAACTGGCAATGGCGTGGACCAAGCATACGACGCCAGCCACATGGGCCTCAGGTGGAGCTCCATAGGGCCCCCAGACAAACAATGTTTGAGGGGTGCTCCGATATGGCGTGGACTGGGTGTGCAAACCCAACCACTTGGGCCCGAGGTGGAGCTCCCTATGAGGGCCACTAAACGTGTGAGAGGGGCACCGAAATGGCGTGCACCAGGTGTGCGAGCCAAGCCACTTGGGCCTCAGGCGAAGCTCCCTATGTGGCCACGAAGCGTGTGAGGTGGCACCGAAATGGCGTGAACCAGGTATGAGAACCCAGACATTTTGGACGTTGGTGGAGCTCCGTATGGGACCACAAAACGTGTGAAGGGTGCGCCGAATGGCGTGGAACAGGTCTGCGAACGCAGCCACTCGAGCCTCAGGTGGAGCTCCCTTTGGGGCCACGACGCGTGTGAGGGATGCGCCGACATGGCGTGGACAGGAGGGTATACGAACTCAGCCACTTGGGTGGAGCTCCCTATGGGGGCCACGAAACGTATGAGAGAGGCGCCGAAATGGCGTGGACCAGATATACGAACCCAGCCACTTGGGCCTGAGGTGGAGCACCATATGGGGCCACGAAATGTGTAAGGCGCCTAAAAGAAGGACATGCAGAGGGCCGAGACAGCGATGTGAGGGAGGAGGGGGAGGGGGAGGAGGAGTGAGTGAGTGAGTGAGTGAGTAAGTGAGCGAGCGAGTGCGTGGGTGGGTGGGTGGGTAGGAGGGCGAGTGAGTGAGAGCGAGAGAGAGAGAGAGACGCAGGGTGCTGCCGCTTCACAACGAGGACCCAAGCACAACAATATGGTTGGGGAGAAGCATAAGACGCATCAAGTGTTACAATTCGGGGAAGGACCAAACCAGATGCAGTTGTGAGCAACGCAATTGTGAGTATCGTCCTCGAACGAGCTCCCTATGGGGCCAAGAAGCGTGTGATGTCAAAATGACCGGGGAGCCGCATGCAAACCCTGCCACTGGCGCCTTCGGCGAAGCCTTATATGGGGCAGCGAAACATGTGAGACGTGTCCCAAAATGGACATGCGGTGGGCGGGGAGCCGCATGTGCACCCTCCCACTGGGGCCTGCGGTGGAGCTCCATGTGGGGCCACGGAACGTGTCATGGGTGTGCCGAAATGAACATGCGGTGGGCGGGGAGCCGCATGCGAACCCTCCCACTGGGGCCTGCGGTGGAGCTCCATGTGGAGCGACGGAACGTGTGATGCGTGTGCCGGAATGAACATGCGGTGGGCGGGGAGCCGCATGCGAACCCTCCGACTGGGGCCTGCGGTGGAGCACCATGTGGGGCCACGGAACGTGTGACGGGTGTGCCGAAATGAACATGCGGTGGGCGGGGAGCCGCATGTGAATCCTCCCACTGGGGCCTGCGGTGGAGCTCCATGTGGGGCCACGGAACGTGTGATGCGTGTGCCGAAATGGACGTGCGGCGGGCGGGGAGCCGCATGCGAACCCTGCCACTGAGACCTGCGGTGGAGCTCCATGTGGAGCCACGGAACGTGTGATGGGTGTGCCGAAATGAACATGCGGTGGGCGGGGAGCCGCATGCGAACCCTCTCACTGGGGCCTGCGGTGGAGCTCCATGTGATGGGTGTGCCAATATGAACATGCGGTGGGCGGGGAGCCGCATGCGAACCCTGCCACTGGGGCCTGCGGTGGAGCTCCATGTGGGGCCACGGAACGTGTGATGGGTGTGCCGAAATGAACATGCGGTGGGCGGGGAGCCGCATGCGAACCCTGCCACTGGGGCCTGCGGTGGAGCTCCATGTGGGGCCACGAAACGTGTGCAGGGTGGGCCGGATTGGACATGCGGTTGGCGGGGAGCGGCATGCGAACCCTGCCAAGGTGGCATTAGGTATATAGAGTTCCGTATGGGCCGACCAAACGTATTAAAGTGTTAGCCAAAATAGACTTGCGCTTCGGTGGAGCTCCCTATGGGTCCACGGAACGCGGGATGGGTGGGACGAATTGGACATGCGGTGGGCGGGGAGCTGCATGCGAACGCGGCCAATGGGGCCTCTGGTGGAGTCCCCTATGGGGTCACGAAACAAGTGCGGAGTGTGCCAATATAGACATGCGGTGGGCGGGCAGTCGCATGCGAACCCTGCCACTGAGGCCTGCGGAGGAGCTCCCTACGGGGCCACGACGCGGGAGAGAGGGTTGTACCGAAATGGGCATGCGGAGGGCGGGGAGCCACATGCGAACACTGCCACTGGAGCCTCCAGTGGAGCCCCCACATGGGGCAACGAAACGCGTGAGGAGTGTGCCGAAATGTACATGCGGTGGGCGGGGAGCCGCATGCGAACCCTCCCACTGGGGCCTGCGGTGGAGCTCCATGTGGGGCCAAGGAACGCGTGAGGAGCTTGCCGTAATGGACATGCGGTGGGCGGGAAGCCGCATGCGAACCCTGCCACGGGGGCCACGGAACGTGTGATGGGTGTGCCAAAATGGCCGATGATGATGATGATGATGATGATGATGATGACGATGATGATGATGAGTATGATGATGCTGATGCTGATGCTGATGCTGATGCTGATGATGATGATGATGATGATGATGATGATAATGATAATGATAATGATAATGAGAATGATAATGATAATGATAATGAGAATGATAATGATAACGATAGTGGCAATGACAATGACAATGACAATGACAATGATACTGATAATGATAATGATAATGATAGTGATAATGATACTGGTAATGATAGTGATGATAGTGATGCTGATAGTGATAATGATAATGATAATGATAATGAAAATGATAATGATAATGATAATGATAATGATAATGATAATGATGATGATAGTGATAGTGATAGTGATAATGATAATGATAATGATACTGATAATGATAATGATAATGACAATGATACTGGTAATGATAACGATAATGATAAAGATAATGATAAAGATAATGATAATGGTAATGATAATGATAATGAGAATGCTAATGATAATGGTAATGATAATGATAATGATACTGATGGTAATGATAATGAGAATGATAATGATAATGAAAATGAGAATGAGAATGAGAATGATAATGATGATGACGACGATGAGGAGGGAGGAGGCGGGAGGAGGCGTAGAGCGCGGTGCTTCGGATTCAAAGAGAGGACCCCGTACGCATCGTCCGGTCGGAGCTCAGAAATCGTATGTTCGGACAGGGGGGCCACGCGCCGTGGCTTTTGCTGCAGGCCCCCGAGGAGCCCGCCCACGTGGGCCGGGTGCTGCTCGGACAGGGGCGTCATCAGCGTGAAGGCGGTCCCGCGCGGGATTGCCTGGGCTCCTCCTCCACACTCCTCATCCCTCCTCCCTCGCCCCACCCTCCTCCTCATCTTCATCCTCCTCCTCCTCCTCCTCGCCCTCCTCCTCCGCGTCCTCGCCCTCCTCCTCCTCCTCCTCCTCCTCCTCCTCCTCCTCCTCCTCCTCCTCCTAGGACCCCAAAGGCGGCGCGAAAGCGTCCGCCGCGACGCTGTTCTGAGGGCTCGCCTGCGAGAAGAAGTCGTAGTGCGGGGCGCACTCCTCGTGCGCGACGCCGTCGCGCACGATGATGAAGCACCTGAGGACCATCTTGAAGGGGGCAATGGACCCACAAATCCGCCGATCCGGCGTACGAGGTTCAAAAAGCCTAAGCTAACGCCCAGAGCCTGACCTTCAGCTCTGCTGGGGGGGGTGCTGGGGTGGCTCTGCCGAGGAAGGGGGGCCGCTTTGCTCCGGGGGTCCTCGGGGACGTTATCATGTACAACTCAGGACCTCTTAGGCCACACACAATCGAAGAACGATCGGGCCCTGACGCCCAAGATAGCCTCTAGTCGGATGCAAAAGCGCTCCCAAGAGGGTGCCAAGAGGCAAAAGCCATTCAATTCCTTTTGGAACACCTACATTTTTAGCATGTCCGACTTCTCGGCCTTCACGGCGTCCAAGACGCCTCAGAAAGTTCCCAAGAAGGTCCCAGAGACCCCCGAAAATCGTCCCAAGACGCCCCAAGAGACTCCCGAAACCGCCCAGTAGGCGCCCAAGACGGCCCCAAGACTGGGTCAAGAGAGGCCCCAGAGGGGAAGCCCGAACCGATAATTCGTGCCTTCCGCCCCAAGATACCCCCTCAAGGTCCCAAGAGGACCCCCATGGGCCCCCAAGAGACCCCGACGAGGCCCTCAGAACGGCCCAAAAGACCAAAAGACACCCCAAAGGCTTCAAAACTGCCGCCAAACGCCCTCGCACAAACATGCAGCCGCCCCCAGATCGGCGACATTGGCCGGAGGCCACTACACTTAGGTCGGGCCTGTCCCCCTACAGGGGGATGTTGGGCGAAACATTGAAAATACCCAAATGAAAAATTGAAAATTGAAAACACCAAATACGAAAAATCAAAAAAACGAAAATCGTCCAAGGACCAATGTTTGACTATGTTTGAATTTCCCTCCTGTAGAGGGGCAGGCCCGACATAACACTACTATCAATAGACACAAATCCCAGGAAACCTCCTATCTTTCCAAATTATCTGGAGTTTCGTGTTCCCCTCCACTTCCCACAATTTCCCGTAGTATCCTGATGATCAGCGTTTATGTGTGTGTGTCTGTGTTTTTCCCCTCCTGACATCTGCTGGGCGCGCCGCGGCCGACCTGACGTGAACCGGGGAACCCCTGGCCGAGACGCGGAGGAGCGACGAGGGCGGACGGAACAGAAATCGGGGTGACCCAAAAGGGGGCCCAGCTGAAAGGGGGTGGTGCAATAGACTTCGGGCAGTTGTGTTGCAAATGCACTGCGCCAGAGAACTGTAGTGCATTGCATTGCAAGTAATGCATTGCACGCGAGGATCCAGCAATACATTTGCACCCTGAATGTACTGCACGCCCCAAATGTATTGCAACTAGGGGGCCACATGCGAACCCTACCCCTACCCCCCACGATTTCTGAGGGGAAGTGAACCCCACCCTTCCCCTCAGAAATCGTGGGGGGTAGGGGTAGGGTTCGCATGTGGCCCCCTAGCAACCCCACCAATCTATTGCACCGAATCTATTGCACCACCCCCTTCTGGGTGGACGGGACAGAAAGCTCGAATGCCGTGCCGACGTCGGCCCTGGTCTCCCGACGACGCGGGGGTCCTTCAACCCTCAAGGATACCTGCAACGAAGCCAGGACGAGGATCAGAATCAGGTACTCCAGATTCCGTGATAAAGGGAGGGGGGTCTCATTTCGGGGGGGGTCTCTTCCAGGCTATCTTGGAGGGCCTGGGGGGTCTGGGGGCGATGTTTTGGAGGGTTCTCCCACCGGGGGGGGTCTGAAATGGCTTGTCTTGGAGGGTCCAGACCCCCTCTCTTTTATTACGAAATCTGGAGTGTAAGAATGAGTCGAGAATCTCTGTTAAATCTGGCCGTCCTGGAAGATGCAGCGGGCGCCGCGGGCTTCCCCGAGCGTTCCAGGATGCTCTGAGAGCCTTCTGGGACGCTCTGGAACGGATTGATCCTCGTCCAAGCCTCGCCCGAACATTGACCGACTCCGGGTCGCTGGCGGCGTGCAACGTTGCACGCCGCGGCAAGGTCGCCGCCGATCGGCAGGACGCGAACCCAACGCACAGGTAGACGCATGCGACGAGCACTTGACCAGGACGTACCCCACCCCGTCTCCACTCGAGGCGACCAAATAGCTCTGTGAGTGCTCCATACACAAGAACACAGTGCAAGATACAGTCAACCAGTACAGTCAGGATGCGCGATAAGGATGCAAGGGCCTTGGACGCCCATGTCGAAGCTTTTCGAGCGGGGCGCGGCCAGCGAAAGCGGCGAAGGATGGACCGAGGAACAAAGGATGCAAGGGTACCCTTGGGAAGGTTGCCCGGCCTTCCTATCCGGGTTGACTGTATTTCTGTGAACGCTCCATACCCAAGAACAAAGTGCAAGATATGCACAGCCTGCGCTGCCCAGCACTCCGCCGTGCCTCCCAGGAGCCCACGAGAAGATGGCGACGGCTGCGCAGGGCGCAGCCCCCCGAAGAAGCCGTGGGGTCTCGAAGGGATCTGCGCTGCCCTGCACTCCGCCGTGCCTCCCCGGAGCCCCAACGAAAGTGGCGACGGCTGCGCAGTGCCCCGGCCCCCGAGGGAGCCGCGAGATCTCGAAGGGATCTGCGTGGCCCTGCACTCCGCCGTGCCTCACGGAACTGGCAACTGCTGCTCACTCCGCGCCCCCCAGGGAGCCCAGAGATCTCACATTGACCTGCGCTGCCCTGGACTTCGCCGTGCCTCCCAGGAGCCCACGGAGGTGGCGACGGTTGCGCAGTGCGCAACCCCCGAGGTGGCCGCGAGGTCTGAAAAAAATCCACGCTGCCCTGCAGCCCGCCGTGCCGCACGAAAGTTGCGACGATTGCATACGTCGCAGCCTCAGAGGGAGCCGCGAGGTCTCAAATGGATCTACGCTGCGCTGCACTCCGCCGTGCCTCCCAGAACACCAAGAAAATGGCGACGGTGTCGCAGTGTGCAGCCCCAGAGGGAGCCGCGAGGTCTCAAATTGATCTGCGCTGCCCTGCACTCCGTCGTGCCTCCCAGGAACCCACGAAGAGTGGCGACGGTTACGCTTTTTCAGCCCCCCAGGCAGCCGCGAGGTCTCCAAAATATCCGCGGGACCCGGAACTCCCCCGTGTCTCCCGAGAGCCCACGAAAGTGACTGCAGTTGTTCACGTCGCAGCCCCCGGGGGAGCCGCGAGGTCTCAAAATGATCTCCGCTGCCCTGCACTCCGTCGTGCCTTTGGGGAGCCCACGAAGAGTGGCGACGGTTGCGCAGCTCACGGGCCCCCAGGAGGGCGCACAGGATATGCAGGAGGGCGCACAGGATGCAGGAGGAGGCAGGCGGAGGAGGGGCTGGGAAGGTTGCGCGAGCAGTGCTCTACTCAAAACCAGAACCCGGCCAAGGGCATTGAAGGGGCCTAAGGACACACAAAAAGATAGGCACAGATAGCAGGATTCCCCATATTTGCTCATATTTTCTGGGTTTCTGCCTTCCCCTCCACTCCCCATATTTCCCATATATTTTCCTGGGGGTCGACGATCCATTGTGTCTTTGTGTTGTCGTCCCCTCCTGAGGCATGGAATCGGGGGGCGCGCTTGCCGTCGAGCTGTCGGTTCCCTGGGAGTGCCCCGTGGCTCCCTGTGGGCCGCCAGGCCCAGTCGGGGAAGAGAGGAAGCCTCTGCGGGGCACCCGCCGACGTGCTGTGTTTTTTATTCGACGTGCCCCGAAGAAGTCGTCGTCGTCGTCGTCGTCGTCGTCGTCGTCGTCGTCGTCGTCGTCGTCGTCGTCGTCGTCGTCGTCGTCGTCGTCGTCGTCGTCGTCGTCGTCGTCGTCGTCGTCGTCGTCGTCGTCGTCGTCGTCGTCGTCGTCGTCGTCGTCGTCGTCGTCGTCGTCGTCGTCGTCGTCGTCGTCGTCGTCGTCGTCGTCGTCGTCGTCGTCGTCGTCGTCGTCGTCGTCGTCGTCGTCGTCGTCGTCGTCGTCGTCGTCGTCGTCGTCGTCGTCGTCGTCGTCTGTGGGGCACTCGCCAACGTGCCGTTTCTGCTCCATCTGACGTGCCCCAGAGAAGCCAAGGAGACTGCCCCTAACCGCCAGGGCCGGGCTCCCCCAGGACGCCCTTCTTTCGCGACGACACCGGCGAGGATGCAGCCGCCCTCTCTCCTCTCCCACGGCGCCGCAACGGTGCAGGTCTATCTCATGTTGCGTCGCTGTTTGACGGTCCAACAGAGAGGAGAGGCAGAGAAAGAAAGAAAGAGAGAGAGAGAGAGAAAAAGAAAGACAGAGATATAGAAAACACATAAAAAGGAGAGAGAGAGAGAGAGAGAAAAAAAAAAAAAAAAAAAAAAAAAAAAAAAAAAATGTAACAAAAAAACAGAAAACAAAAACAAAGCAAAACAACAACAAAACAAAAACTCCTGGGCCCGGGCCTCGGCCTTGGCCGCGCCGCCGACGTCGACGGACGTCGTCGTCGCCGCCGCCGTCGGACAGCGTATTTGGGCCGTCGCACATCGTCGCCGCCGTCGCCGTGGCCGCCGCCGCCGCCCCATAGGGCCCGGGAGGGCCAGGGGGGGCGGCCCGCTCAAGCCCGAGGCCCGCCTCGCCCGAGAGGCCCGCCCTGGAGAGACGAGGAGCGAAGGGAGGAGGGGCCGTCAAGAAGCGTCGCGCGGCGCCGGGACCCGAGGCGCCCCGCCCCCCCCCCGCGGCCGGGCCGAGGGCGAGCCGAGGGCGGGCGCCCGGCGTTCACCTGCGGCGTGGGCGCGGGGAGGGAGAGGAGGGGGAAGGGCACCGCTCGGGCGGCGAGGCCCTCACTCACACGGGGCCGTCCTTGGAGTGATGAGGAGGCTTCGGGGAATTGGTGCAGCTTTCGGTTTGCGGCTGGCGCCAGATCGGAACGCACACACACACACACACACATGTACCAACATATATAGATGTGTATATATGTATGTGTGTACCGATCGATGCATATGATGTATGTACCACATACATGCATACATATATGTACAGATACCATACGTGCATACATATATGTACAGATATATATATATATATATATATGTGATGTATGGAAAGATGTGTGTATAAACATACATATACATATACTGGTCGATCGCCGTCTCTCTTGAGATCGCACTGTCTTTCAATCGGGCTCACGGCATACCAGTACCACAGACGAACGATACCACGGTCAACAAATGTGTATATATATGTAGTCATACACATGTGTTTCTGAGCCCCTATGTATAACACGTGCACGAGACATCGAAAATATGTGTAAGACATGCACGTACATGTTCACCCGTACAAAAATACAAATATTGATATATCTATATATACATACATACATACATACATACATACATACATACAGACAGACAGACAGACAGACAGACAGACAGACAGGCATACATACATACATACATACATACATACATACATATTGAAAACAAACAACTGTGCAGGCATTGGAGGCTGGGGGGTGAGATCGAAAGAAGCGGAGACCCCCCAAAGGGAAAACAATTTCGGTTACGTGTTCATGCCGCACTGCGTGCGCGGGCGAGAGCAAGTGGAGATTCAACAGTATCCCGAAAGCACGTCACAGGACTCCACGGACGGGCCCCCGTCCCGACGGGTCGTGGGGCCCCGACGCTGCTGACGTTCGCCGTCTGTTCTCCTGCTGCGTGAGCGCGGGGGCGAAGCGGGCCCCGACATCGCTGGCGCCAGGGAGACGGTCTCCTCGGATCCGCTGCGGCGCGGCGTCGAGGGCGCAGGCCCAAGGGCCAGCTTCAGCGCCCAACCATTGTTCAGATCGGCCCGACGCCCAAGCCCAAATGGCGACATCGGGCGGGTGAACCACGGGACAATCACAAGACAACCATCGGGACAACCATCGGGTCAACCATCGGGACAGCATTCAAGACGACAATCGGGACAACCACCAGGACAACCATCAAGACAACAATCGAATCAACCATGTGTGTTTTCTCTTTCGTGCGAGGGCCCGCACCGATCGGCAAAACAAGTAATCCAAAAACGATCGCCATCGGGACAACCATCGGATCACACGTCGAGACAAGCATGAGGAAAACCATCGGGACAACCAGCGGGACAACAGCCGGAACAACCAGCAGGACAACAAGTGGGACAACCCCGGTCACGCCCCCACGCCCGAGCAAGCAAGTCAATTTGACGTGACCTAGGCCCAGCTAGTGTTAGGTCGGGCACGTCCACCTACAGGCGGATTTTCGACGAACAATTAAAAATACTCAAACAAAAATCAAACATACACAAACAAATGCCAAAAGAATCGTCCCCAGATTTGTTTCACTACTTTTGCATACTCCTCCTGTAGAGGGACACGCCCGTCTTAAAGCTGGTGCAGGAGTACACGCTGCTTCGCCTCGCCCGCACGCACGACTCGAGCCGAAACCGAAAACGAGCTCCCACGTGGGCGACTCCTTTTCCACTCCGGCTTCACAGGCCCTCCTCCCGCGTGACGCTGTTCGGATCGCTTCCCGACGATCAGCCTGGGCAGAACGGAGCACTACCCCCGAATCCCTCCCGCCCCCCGACCCCACTCGTGGTGCATAGCCATTCCTCGCCGGGGCACCCCGTCAAGCGCCCCCCCCCTGGCCACGAAGGGCCGCGCCGCGCGGGCACAGGCAGGCAGACTCTCCGCGAAGCCCGCGTAGCTCTTCGCCTCTCCTCTTTCTCATCTTCCTCTCCCTCTTCCCTCCCTCCTCCCCATTTTCGGTGGACGCCGACGGCGACGGCGGCGACGACGGCGGGGACAGAAGCAAAAAAGTCGACGACGGCGACGACGACCACGACCCCCAGACCCAGCCCAGGGTGGCTTCTGACCAGCATGACGACGGGAGACCCCACAAAGGGTCCCAGACGCAAAAAAAAAAAAAAAACATATCTCCTCGACCCTCCGGTTCCGAACGACGGCGAAAAAGACGACGACAGCAGCGAGGACGCTGGCCACGACGAAGGCCCAGGGTTGGCGGCGCGCACAGAAAGGGGCAGGGGGAGGGGAAGGCTTCTTCGAGGGAGGCCCCTCCTGAGAAGGCGCCGGCCTGCATCTGTAGACGAGGCCCCCGCGCCTTCTGAGGAGCAGGGCGGCCTCCAAGAAGCCCGCCCCCCCTCCCCCTACAGTCAAAAACCCTGATAAGGACGCGCGGTAAGGACGCAAGACCCTTGGAAGCCGAAGTTGGGATTTTTGGGGCGGCGGACGACGAAAACCTCAAGGACGCAAGAGCCAGGCAGAGCAAGGACGCAAGGGTACCCTGAGCAAAGCCGCGCGTCCTTCTTAGGGTTTTTGACTGTGCCCCCCTGGGGGCGCGCCGCCAGAGGCCCTCTGGCGGGTGCTGCCTGGCATCCCCCCTCCCTCCCCCCAGGGGGCCCGTTGCGACCCTCCCTGGGCCGGCGCGCGCGCGGGCCGCCCCCCCCCCCCGGCCTCGCCGCCGCGTGGGCCCCGAGTACTCGGCCCTTTTCCGCGGGGGGCCCCGCTCCTCGCCCCGCGCGTCTTCCCGCGAACGGCCCCGCATCTGCGGACAAGGCCCGTGCCTCTAAGAATCCTGCCCCCCCTCCCCTTCTAGCCCCCCTCTTGCGCATGGCCGGCACTGGGCGGACGACATCTGATCCATGCCCCTGCTCAGGCCAGAACTCTGCGAGGGGGTGGGGACGGGGCGTGGAACGGGTCTGGCCTCTGGAGGCAAGCCTGTTCTTCAAAGCCCTGCCCCCCACCCTGGCATCTTGAGTGGGGGCAACTGCAGGGGTATGGATCCAAGCCTCCCCCTACCCCCCTCTGGGAAAACCAAAGGGTACCAATACCGCTTCTCCCCGGACCTCTCCCGGGGTTCGTTATGACCAGGATTTCGAGGCGTATCCAGCGGTGGCAGCGAGGGCCTCCAAAGAGCCCGAGAAAGGGGAATACGGGCGAAGGGTAGCGGTATCAGTACCTCTTGCTCCTCTGACTACCCGCTCTGCGCGTGGCCGTCAGGGGCCGCCTCCACCTCGCAGCCAGCCACAGCGGCCAGCCGCCGCCGCACCTCTGGGGCCGCCACCCGCTCGAAGGCGTCCAGGGCCCGCGAGTCTCCCGCGCACAGCCACCTGCTCGCGGCGGCTTCTTCAGAGTCTCCGCCAGGGCCGGTGATGGCTGTTCTCTGGGCAAACGTAAGTATGTGTATACATATGTGTATAAATATATCGGTATAGAGAGAGATGGGTATATGCGTATACATATATATGTATATATATATATGTGTGTATATATATATATATCGGAACAGATATGTCCATCTATCTGTGTATGTGCATGACTATACAGAGAGACGTGTAAAACAATTATGTGCACATGCACACACATATAGGTAAACGGACCAGATTTATATACACATACGCATATGCATATAGCAGGTGTGTATGGAGTCAGGTAAACGTGTAGGTAGATAGGTGTTGATATACATATACACATATATATGTATGTATGTGTGTATCCATTCTTCTACCATTATAAATCCTGCACTGAAAAATGATGGCCCACCACCACCCCATACCTTTTTCGACGGTCCTCCCCGGCCCCGGGGCACTTTTCGAACGGAGTTCCAAGCTTTCCCAACCAGCCGCCCGCGCGCCGAATGATCGGCCGAAACGCTTTTCATGGCTCCCTGACGGCCCAAGGACGGCTCCCAAACGGCTCCAAACGGGCCCACAAGACTTCCAAGAGCGCCACGACATGCAAACATCAAGGTGTTTCCTAGGGTTTTGGGCAGATTGCGACGTTCTCGTCATTCTGGGCATCCTGCATCCCACGACGGCCCAAGAGGCTTCCGAGATCCCCCCAAGAAGGCCCAAGAGGACTCCAAGACAGCCCCAAAACGGCCCAACAAAGCCCCCAGACGCCCAAGTTGGCTGCAGAACGGCGCGCAGCGCGCCCCACAGACGCCCAGGGGCGCGCCCAAGATGGCCCCACGAGGCACCCGATGGCCCAAGAGGCTCACAAGAGAGTCCCAAGACGGACGGGACAAGAGGGCTCCGAGACTGCGCAAGAGAGCCCCAAGATGGCCAAGAAGGGGTCCCAGAGGGTCCCACAGGGGCCCCAAGGGAGCTCCAAGAGGGCCACAGGAGGCCCTCTAGACGGCCGTAGAGGGCCCCCAGATGGCTCTTAGACGGCCACAGCCCCCCAGGACGGCACAAGAGGGCCCCAGAACAACCCAAGAGGGCCCACAGCCAGGCCAAAAGAGCCCAAAAAGCACCCCCAAGAAAGCCCAAGAGGCCCCCAGAAATTCCAGAATGCTTCCAAAAGAATCCCAGGAAGCTTCCCAAGGTTCCAAGAGGCCCCTGATTCATGATTCATCTCAGGGCTTCAAGAAGCCCCACAAACAAACGCCGCCAAGCCCGAGAAGCACTACAAACGCCCTGGACTCACGAACCGTGTCAGGGGTGTGCCGACATGGGCGAGGCGGCGGGATGCGAACCTTGGCTCTGGGGCCGTCCGTGCAACTCCCCCTTGCACGTTTTCTCAGCTTCCCCACAGTCCACTTCTCCTCCTCCCCTCCTCCCCCTCCTCCTCCTCCTCCTCCTCCTTCTCCTCCTGCTCTTCCTGCTCCTCCTCCTCCTCCTCCTCCTCCTCCTCCTCCTCCTCCTCCTCCTCCTCCTCCTCCTCCTCCTCCTCCTCCTCCTCCTCCTCCCTCCTCCTCCCTCCTCCTCCTCCTCCCTCCTCCTCCTCCTCCTCCTCCTCCTCCTCCTCCTCCTCCTCCTCCTCCTCCTCCTCCTCCTCTCCTCCTCCTCCTCCTCCTCCTCCTCCTCCTCCTCCTCCTCCTCCTCCTCCTCCTCCTCCTCCTCCTCCTCCTCCTCCTCCTCCTCCTGGTCCTCATCCTCCTCCTCCTCCTTCACCTCCTCCTTCGCTTCGCTCGCGTGGTTTGCAATACTTCGGCAATGGTGCTCTCGCCCATCCGTGGCCGCATCCTGATCCAAGATTGGCGCAGCCACCCCAGCACTGACCACACTCTCCAATACGAGCGGCACTGTCGCCTCAGAGCTGGCCACAGCCCTCATTGCAGACGATGCTGCCGGTCGAGCACAAGCTCCATTCATGGATGGAATTGGCGCTCTCGCCCGAGCGCTGGCCACACCCCTGTCTGGGAGTCGTGCTGCCGACTGCGCGCTGGCCAAATCCCTCATGGAACGCGGTACTCATTTTCGCCACGCCCCTCATTGACTATTGTGATGCCGCTCCACTCGCACGGTTCCACAGTCCTCATGGGAGAATGGTGTTCCGCCCAAGCGCCAGCCATATCCATATCCAAGATTTTGCTACCGCCCCAGCGCTGGCCGCATCCGTGTGTGAGACTGGTACTCTCGTTCGAGCCTCTGCTACATCCGTCTTTTGCGAGCGCCACCTCCAGCGCGAGACAACTGGCGACCGCAGCTGCCGTCCCTTCGTGCTGGGCGAGTGCCGAACCTGGCGTTCGGTTTGGACGGAGCGCGTCGGGTATGTTGCCAATCGGGACTGCGCCAGGTAAGCACCGCCAACGTCAGGTTCGGGAATGGGTGCCGTCGCAACACTGCGGCTACATCAGTATGCTAATCGCAGAGTCCATAATACATGTAGGTTCAAGGATCATAGTGTAAAGGCGAAGCGCAGCGAACCATAAAATCTTGTGTAAACATAGGAAGGCAAATATGTTGGTATATAGATATGGATGTACGCACGTACACGTACACGACGTACATCTATACACACATGAACAGATGTACATGGATATGCACCCGCTTACATGTATTTGTATGTATCTATACGTATATCGATAGTCCGGTATATGAGTATGTTGACATATCAATGTACATACATACCGTGTGTTATATAGTTGGGTGTGAAGAGGGATGTCGTGTCGATCATTAGATAGCTAGGCACATGTATATACATAGATGCACAGGCTAGCATGCACATGCATCTATGAATACATATATATGAATATAAATTTACATCGATTGATATTTATATATAGATGCACAAACATGTACATATATAGCTGTGTAAATAGATCAGCACAACACTGCCTGTATAATATGGCGCTACGTGTGTGCATATATACTTATATGCTTCAATGATCAGACACATGTAAGAACGTGTTTGTTTAAATCTATGTATGGTTAGATTCGCACATAGCCATTCATCTACATAATATATAGATAGAAAGATATCGAATTAACTATACAGAGACAGACAGACAGACCGATAGACAGAAAGACTGGCAGACAGTCATATGTATAGACATGTCTAGGTAACTATATGAATACATGTGTATGTGCACACGTACACCTAAGTATCAGTATACATACCTACATGTAGACCCAACTAAAGTATGCTAAGCATTTGGCAACGGGGAGTGGACGTCCTGAGCGAGGGCCCCAGGCGGGTAGCGGAAAGAGGAAAGAGGTGAGGAGCACGGCCCCCGTGGAAAAGGGCCGAGTACTTTGGGCCCGTGCTCGCGAAGACGCGCGACCAGGCCAGGAGGAGAGGCTGCCCGCGCACCGGCCAAAGGAGGGTCAGAACGGGCGAGGAGGAGAGGGGGGATGCTGTGGAGCACCGCCAGGGGAACACTGGCGGCACGCACAGGGGGGCAGGGGAGGGGGGCAGGCGCCTTAGAAGCACCCCTGCTTCTTGGAAGGCGCGGCAGTCGTCTACAGATGCAGGGCCGGCGCCTTCTAAGAAGCAGCCTCCTTCGACGAAGCCGTCCCCCTTCCCCCTACCCCCTTGTGCGCGCCGCCCAGGACACACGCACTGGACAGCTTACCCCACAAGATGGGGATCTGGGCTGTTTCCCTCGTGCTTCGAGGAGTAGATCCCCAACTGGATGGTGGCGGTTTGCATGGGGACGGGGATGGACATGGGGATAGGGGGCTCGGCGAAACGGTGCAGGGGGACGGGAGGCCCCCTTCATCGCCTCGCCGTGGAGGGAAGGGACCCCGGGGGAGGGGGGCCCTGGAGCTGTTTCCTGACTTGGGGGGCCTCCGTGGGCCCTCCTGGGGCCCCACCAACAAGGCACCGAAAACCAAAAGGGCACCAAAAACCAAAAGGGTACCGACAACCAGAGGAGCGCCGAAAACCAAAGATGCCCCGAAAACCACAAGGGCGCCAAAAACCAAAGGAGAGCCGAAGACCAAGACCAAAGATGCCCCGAAAATTACAAGGGCGCCGAGAACCATCGGAGCGCCGAAAAACAACAGGGCGACGAAAACCATAGGGTCGGCGAAAACCAAGGGGGCACAGAAAACCTAAAGAAGAACGGAAACCTAAAAGCGCCGAACAAATAAATGGGCACCAAAAACCAACAAATGCGCCGGATACCAACAGGGCGCTGAAAACAATCCACAAGGACACGGAAAACCCAAGAGGCGCCGAAAATCACAAGGGCGCCGAAAACTCAAGGAGCGCCGAACACCCAAGGAGCGCCGAAAACCAAAAGAAACACCGAAAAAGAACAAAACGCCGAAAACCAACGATGGGCTGAAAACCAAAAGAGGCGCCGGAAAATCAAAGGGGCGCAGAAAACCAAAGGGCGCCGAAAACCAAAGGGGCGCCGAAAACAACAGAAGCTCCGGAGACGGACACGCGCGAGAAGCGCACCGACACAAGAGGCGACGCACGAAAACCAAAAGGGCGCCGAAAACCAAAGGGGCGCCGAAAACCGCAGGGGCGCCAAGAAGCAAAGGGGCACCGAAAACACAAGAGGCGACGAAAACCAAAAGGGCGCCGAAAACCAACGATGCACCGAAAACCGAGTGGCGCCGAAAAACCAAAGGGGCACCGATAACATAACCAAAAGGGTGTCGAAAACCAAAGAACGGCAAAAACCAAAAGCGCGCCGAAAACCAAAGGACCAAAGGGGCGCCGAGAACCATAGGGGCGCCGAAAACGAAAAGGGCGCCGAAACCCAAAGAGGCGCCGAAAACTAAAGGGGCGCCGAAAACCAAAGGGCACCGAAAACTAAGAAGGCGCCGAACACTAAAGGGGCGCCAGAACACAAGAGGGCGGCGCAAACCGAGGATGCGCCGAGCACCAAAGGGCGCGCAGAAAACCAAAAGGGCACCGAAAACCAAAAGAGCGCCGAAAACCAAAGCAGCGAAGAAAACAAAAGTAGCGCCGAAAACCACAGGGGCGCCGAAAACCAAAGGGGCGACAAAGGCCAAAGAGAAGCTGAAAACCAAAGAAGCGTCGAAAATTAAAGAGACGCGGAAACCCACTAGTACGCTGCAGACCAGAGTGGCGCCGAAAACCAAAGAAGAGAAGTAGCTTCGTATCCCCCCCTTCAGCCAGGGCCCTCCAGCTGGAAAGGCCAACAGGAGGAGGGGAGAGGAGGGCCAGCTTCGGAAGCCCCCATCCCGTGGAAAGGGGGGCCCGGGCTTACTCCGGGCCACGAAGAGGAGGGGATGAAGGCGTAGCTTCCAAGCCCACCCACCCACCCTTTTGGCCAGGGACCCCCCAGCTACGAAGTCCAAGCAACAGGAGGGGGGAGCAGCTTCGGAAGCCCCCCACCCCCTGGCAAGGGGAGCTCGGGCTGACCCCCGGGCCCCGAGAAGGGGGGCGGGGGGGGGGCAGCTTGCAAGCCCCCCCCCCCCTCAGCCGAGGACCCCCCAGCTGCAGAACCCAAACAGAAGGGTGGGGGGAGCGTCGGAAGCCTCTGCAAGGGAGCGGGGGCTGACCCTGGGCCCCGAGAAGGGGAGGAGGGGGGGGGTAGCTCCCAAGCGCCCCCTCCCCCTTCAGCGAGGGCCACTCCAACCCACAAAAAAAATGCCCGCAAGAAGGGGGGGAGGGTTGGGAAGACTGGTCTACTCTGTAAGGACGGTTTTTTGAAGGCAGATCTGCCTTCAAAGATCTGCCTTCAAAAAACCGTTCTTACAGAGTAGACCAGTCTTTCCTCCTTGAAGGCAGATCTGCCTTCAAAAAACCGTTCTTACAGAGTAGACCAGTCTTTCCTCCTTGAAGGCAGATCTGCCTTCAAAAAACCGTTCTTACAGGGAAGCCCGGCCCCCAGTTTCCCAGGGGAGAGGGTGGGCAGCTTGAAGCTGGGGCCCCCTTTCTAGTAAGGAGTGTGCGAGACGGGCGCGCCCTTCCCTGCCTCGGATCTCCGGCGGACGTTCGGGATGCTCCGGGCAGCCCTGGACGCCCCTCGGCGAGGCGCAGCTGCGCAGGGACGCATCCCGAGGCCGGACCACCGCCGAGGACGGCCGAAGGCATCCTCCGAATACCTCGAGACTCGAGCCCGTCCCTCCCCGCGTCAGCCCGATCCGCCGAGGGGCCGCCGCATGCTCTGCGTGGGCCGCGAGAGCGTGAGCACGAAGCGCAACGACTCCCCGTCGGCCGCGCCGCGCCCGCAGCGGCCCTCGGTCGGCGCCTGGCCGCAGAGCGTATGGAGGCCCTCAAGGTGTCAATGATCAGGGGCTGCCTGACCTCAAAAAAACCGATCGGCGGACGCCATCTTTTATTCCCCATATCCTAAGATGGGGTTCTTGTTATTACTTGGACGCCTCCTACTCCTCCTCCTCCTTCCTCCTCCTCCTCCTCTTTTCTTCCCCATCTCCTAAGATGGGGTTCTTGTTATTACTTGGACGCCTCCTACTCCTCCTCCTTCTTCCTCCTCATCGTTTCTCCTCCCCTCCTGTCGGACATACTCAGACTTGCTCATACACAGACTTACTCATACTCAGACTTACTCATACTCAGACCTACTCATACTCAGACTTACTCACACTCAGACATACTCATATACAGACTTACTCATACACAGACTTACTCATACACAGTATTAGTCATACCCAGACGTACACATACACAGACTTACTCATACACAGACTTACTCATACTCAGCACCCCTAAGGGGAGCCGCCAGGGGTGGTTGCACGGGCTCGTTCGCGGCCATTTTGTGGGGATGTCTCAGGCGGTTTGCCTGTTTCTGTGCCCAACATCCTTCGCTTTCGGAGCAGATTTGGAGGATGTCTCGAGCGAGGCGCTCATTTCAGCACCCCTAAGGGGAGCCGCCAGGGGTGGTTGCACGGGCTCGTTCGCGGCCATTTTGTGGGGATGTCTCAGGCGGTTTGCCTGTTTCTGTGCCCAACATCCTTCGCTTTCGGAGCAGATTTGGAGGATGTCTCGAGCGAGGCGCTCATTTCAGCACCCCTAAGGGGAGCCGCCAGGGGTGGTTGCACGGGCTCGTTCGCGGCCATTTTGTGGGGATGTCTCAGGCGGTTTGCCTGTTTCTGTGCCCAACATCCTTCGCTTTCGGAGCAGATTTGGAGGATGTCTCGAGCGAGGCGCTCATTTTCACCCCCCAGGTGGGCCAGATTTTGAGGATGTCTCGATCGGTTTGCTAGTTTTGGTGGCCAGGCTCGTGGGCGCAGATTCTTCTCAGGATGCCACAGGAGGCTCCAACAGGCTCCAGGAGGCTCCAGGAGACCACATGAGGTCCCAGGAGGCATCAGGAGGCCACAGAAAGACTCAAGAGGCCACAGGATGTCCCAAGAGGCTCCAGGAGGCCCCAGGAAGCTCCAGAAGGCCTCAGGAAACCACAGGAGACCCCAGGAGACAACAGGAAGCGCCAGGAGGCCTCGGAAGGCAACAGGAGGCCCCGAGAGGCCCCAGGAGCAGGAGGCCTCAGAAGGCAACAGGAGTGGCTCCAATCCCATGTGTTTTACGTATGCTCCTATCGATTGGGCCTCACCTGGAGCACGATTCTTTGATGTTCTACGTATGTTTCTATAGATGGTCCTTCTCCTGTGTACACAATCCTAAATGTTTTACTCATGTTCCTATGTATTGGGCCTCTCCTGGGGCACGAGTCCTTGGTGTTTTACGCGTGTTCCTATAGATTGCCCTTCTCCTGTGGCTCTAATCCGCAATGTTTTATGTACGTCTGTTGCTATAGATTGCGCCTCCCCTGGGGCACGAAACCTTCCTAGGAGGTCCCAGGAGGTCCCAAGAGGCTCCTGGAGACCCCAGGAAGCCCCAGTAGGTTTCAGGAGGCCCCAGGAGGCCCCAGGCTCATGCACAGAGACGCGCTCGTACTACTGAGGCTCATTCACACTCCAATTCATTCGCAGTTAGATTGATGTCCAGACCGTCACAACTGAAGCCCGTTAATATTCGAAAGCTCTTGCGCCTAGACATTCACGGCGGACAGGTCCATGCGAGTAGATGCACATATGGGGAGCTCAACGCAGTGAATAATCCTCCCCTCCTGTCGGACATACTCAGACTTGCTCATACACAGACTTACTCATACTCAGACTTACTCATACTCAGACCTACTCATACTCAGACTTACTCACACTCAGACATACTCATATACAGACTTACTCATACACAGACTTACTCATACACAGTATTAGTCATACCCAGACGTACACATACACAGACTTACTCATACACAGACTTACTCATACTCAGCACCCCTAAGGGGAGCCGCCAGGGGTGGTTGCACGGGCTCGTTCGCGGCCATTTTGTGGGGATGTCTCAGGCGGTTTGCCTGTTTCTGTGCCCAACATCCTTCGCTTTCGGAGCAGATTTGGAGGATGTCTCGAGCGAGGCGCTCATTTCAGCACCCCTAAGGGGAGCCGCCAGGGGTGGTTGCACGGGCTCGTTCGCGGCCATTTTGTGGGGATGTCTCAGGCGGTTTGCCTGTTTCTGTGCCCAACATCCTTCGCTTTCGGAGCAGATTTGGAGGATGTCTCGAGCGAGGCGCTCATTTCAGCACCCCTAAGGGGAGCCGCCAGGGGTGGTTGCACGGGCTCGTTCGCGGCCATTTTGTGGGGATGTCTCAGGCGGTTTGCCTGTTTCTGTGCCCAACATCCTTCGCTTTCGGAGCAGATTTGGAGGATGTCTCGAGCGAGGCGTTCATTTTCACCCCCCAGGTGGGCCAGATTTTGAGGATGTCTCGATCGGTTTGCTAGTTTTGGTGGCCAGGCTCGTGGGCGCAGATTCTTCTCAGGATGCCACAGGAGGCTCCAACAGGCTCCAGGAGGCTCCAGGAGACCACATGAGGTCCCAGGAGGCATCAGGAGGCCACAGAAAGACTCAAGAGGCCACAGGATGTCCCAAGAGGCTCCAGGAGGCCCCAGGAAGCTCCAGAAGGCCTCAGGAAACCACAGGAGACCCCAGGAGGCAACAGGAAGCGCCAGGAGGCCTCGGAAGGCAACAGGAGGCCCCGAGAGGCCCCAGGAGCAGGAGGCCTCAGAAGGCAACAGGAGTGGCTCCAATCCCATGTGTTTTACGTATGCTCCTATCGATTGGGCCTCACCTGGAGCACGATTCTTTGATGTTCTACGTATGTTTCTATAGATGGTCCTTCTCCTGTGTACACAATCCTAAATGTTTTACTCATGTTCCTATGTATTGGGCCTCTCCTGGGGCACGAGTCCTTGGTGTTTTACGCGTGTTCCTATAGATTGCCCTTCTCCTGTGGCTCTAATCCGCAATGTTTTATGTACGTCTGTTGCTATAGATTGCGCCTCCCCTGGGGCACGAAACCTTCCTAGGAGGTCCCAGGAGGTCCCAAGAGGCTCCTGGAGACCCCAGGAAGCCCCAGTAGGTTTCAGGAGGCCCCAGGAGGCCCCAGGCTCATGCACAGAGACGCGCTCGTACTACTGAGGCTCATTCACACTCCAATTCATTCGCAGTTAGATTGATGTCCAGACCGTCACAACTGAAGCCCGTTAATATTCGAAAGCTCTTACGCCTAGACATTCACGGCGGACAGGTCCATGCGAGTAGATGCACATATGGGGAGCTCCACGCAGTGAATAATTCATGCCCTTGATCAGGCCAGGACTCTGCGAGGGGGCGCACGGAACAAGTCTGGCCTCTGGAGGCCAAGTTGTTTTTCCAAGCCCTGCTCCCACCCTGGCAGCCAGGGTTGGGGCAGCTGCAGGGGCATGGATCGAACGCAGATCCCCGAACCAAGAACAGCTCGATCACCTTACCCAGCAATGAAGAACAGCGGGGCCGCTCACGGTACCCCAGTGAGGCCAGGCAATCACAGCGCACTTGCCACAAAAACACAACAATCAAACCGCACTTACCACTGAGGGGAAACGATAGGGGGGACTGGCATTGGGGGGATTGCATCGACCTGGAATCGGCGACACATCGCCGATAGATCGGCGATAGGCCGCCGATAGTGAATCCGCACCTTTCTGGGCAGGCTGGGGCTATCGGGCCACCATCGGCGATCAATGGGCGATTGGGGGTCGATGAATCTCCCCCTATGCCTATCCCCCCCCTATCGTTGCCCCTGGCAATACCACACCGGAGGTGCAGGCCCGTCGGGCGAGGACACCGAAGCTGGGCCGCCTGTGCTCCGGGCGGCGGCGGCTCTGGACCCGGACGGCACCCCCGCAGGGATGTCCGACAGTTGCCCGAGCGGCGATGGGACCCGCAAGCCTACGGTGCGCAGGCGGTCGCAGGACCCCTCCCCAAGCGCCTCCCACGTCCGCCTCCTGCCCCTGCCCTCCTGCTCTTCCTCGCCCTCCGCCTGGTCCCGCCCCCTCGGCCTCCCTCCACCCTTGCCCGTACTCCTCCGCCATCCTCGACCGCCTCCTCCTCCAGCAACATCACCACCTCCTCCTCCTCCTCCTCCTCCTCCTCCTCCTCCTCATCCTCCTCCCCCTCCTCATCCTCATCCTCCTCCTCCTCCTCCTCCTCCTCCTCCTCCTCCTCCTCCTCCTCCTAATCATCGTTATCAGCACCATCATCACCATCACCAGCATCGTCGTCATCATCATCAGCATCATCATCAGCATCATCAGCATCATCAGCAGCAGCATCATCCTCAGCATCACCAGCATCATCAGCATCAGAATCATCATCACCAGCAACAGCATCATCGTGGGAATCATCACCAACACCGCCACCACCATCACATTCATCATCATCATCATCATCATCATCATCATCATCATCATCAACATCATCATCATCAACAGCAGCAGCATCATCAGAATCATCAGCAGTATCATCATCAGCAGCATCAGCATCATCACCAATCCTCATCATCATCATCATCATCATCATCATCATCATCACCACCATCATCATCAGCATGATTAGCACCATCATCATCATCAGCAGCAGCATCGTCAGCATCATCATCACCAGCACCATCTACATCACAAGCATCACCATCATCATCATCACCAGCATCCTCATCACCAGCTCCATCATCAGCCGCATCATCATTACAACCACCACCACCACCACCATCGCAACATAATCATCATCATCAGCAGCAGCATCAGCAGCAGCACCATCACCAGCAGCAGCATAATAATCATCAGCATCACGATCAGCGTCCCCCGCCTCGACCTCGCCCATGCCGCCTCCTCCTGCTACTCAAGCCTCCATGTCCACTCGATATTTGTATATATATATACTAGAATCACGCGCGCTACGCTTGCGCTTAGGTTCTAGCCGACTGCGCAGTCGTTGTCAGTAGACCATGTGCTGATCCACGAAACCCAAAGTACCCAAGGAGAGGTTCCCCAGGCAAGGGTCGCCCTTGCGTGGAGGTGCTGGGGGTTCTGGGCGGGCTTAGGCCTCGGTGGGCGGTCGCGGAGCCGTGCGATGATCGACGTGCGACGCGTCGGAAAGTCCCGAACGCTTCCCAAACTGCGCAAGTGGCGTGACTGCCACGGTGGCCGAGGAGGGCCCGAAAAGCTCTGTGCCGCCAGGCCGCCGCCGCCGCCGCCGCCCCCGCGGGCGCCGCCGCCGCAGGCGCCGCCGCCGCCGTCGCGATGATCGTCGCGGTGGTCGTCGTGATTAGGAGGAGGAGGAGGAGGAGGTGGTTTTGGTGGTGGTGGTGGTGGTGGTGGTGGTGGTGGTGGTGGTGGTGGTGGTGGTGGTCGTCGTCGTCGCCTGTCTCCCCGGGGCCTCCAGGAGGGGCCTCTCCAGAAACCTCTCCGGGGCTCTCCCGAAACTCCCAGCGGGCCCCCACGAGAGCTTTTGAGGATAGCCTGGGAGGGCCCACAGGGGCGCCAAGGGAGCTCCCAGGGAGGCCCCAGAGCCCCAACCATTTCACAGGAATTTGGCACGCCGCCGTCCTTGACGAGGAAGCGGTTTGAGTTTAATGTGTGCTAAAGTTGGGGCCCTCTTGGGGCCGTCTCGGAGCTCTCTTGGGGCGTCTTGGGCGCCTCTAGGGCCGTCTTGGGGTTCTCTTGGGCAGTTTCAGGGCCCTCTTGGGGCCCTCTTTTTTTTAGTCTCGCGGGCAACAGGCGCTACACGCCCTCCGAGCTCAAAAAAAAGAAAAGGTCCATACCACTGGCGCACGGTCGTTCTCGACCAGATATACTTGGCGGCGCGCACAAGGGGGTGGAGGGAGGGGGAGGGCTTCTTAGAAGGAGGCTGCTTCTTAGAAGGCGCCGGCCTCAAAACTGTAGACAAGGCCGGCGGCTTCTAAGAAGCAGGGGTGTTTCTGAGAAACCCTCCCCCCTCCTCCCATCCCCCTCTGCGCGTGGCTGCTATACCCTCTCTCGTAAGAGGCGCGGCGGAGCCGCCGTTAGTGAAACGGAAACTTTAAGCAGCGCCTGCTCTGGCGCCGCCGAGCGTCCACCCAACCGCACCGGCGCACGGTCTCGCCCGCGGCGGCGCCGCGGGGACCTGTCGCGCAGAAGCGCAGCCGACGGGAGGAGGACTGAGAGGCAGTGGGGCCAGGAGTTGAGGAGGACGAGGATGGGGAGGCAGCAGGAGAAGAGGACGAGGAGGAAGAGGGGGTGGACCATCAGAATAATGAAATTGGCCGACTGAAAAAATCCGCCGGCCCCCTCGTGGGGCCACCAGGCTGTAGGGCGAAGGTTCGCAGTTTCCTGTACCAGTTGCAGCTTCCAGTATCCACTGTTGCAGTTATGGTTCTTGCTGCTTACTGTTCATTGTTGACTTCTTGCTGCTTACTGTGCCTTGTTGATGGACCGCGCGAGGGGGGGAGGCCCAAAACGGGCATTTTGACCACGGAGAAATCGTATTGTCTGAATTGCTGGGGTGAGACAGAAATTCACACCCCTCACGCAGATCGGCGGGGTCAGGGTCCAAAAACACAACGGATTTGCAACGTTTCTGACTTTCGGCGGGGTCAGGGTCCAAAAACACAACGGATTTGCAACGTTTCTGACAATCGGTGGCACCCCTCAAGCAGATCGGCGGGGTCAGGGTCCAAAAAAACACAAGAATTTGCCACATTTCTGAAATTCGGTGGCACCCCTCGCGCAGATCGGCGGGGTCAGGGTCCAAAAACAAAAGGGATTTTCAACGTTTCTGACATTCGGTGGCACCCCTCGCGCAGATCGGCGGGGTCAGGGTCCGAAAACCCAAAGGATCTTCAAACTTTCTTAAATCTGTGACACCTCCCACGCAGATCGGCGGGGTCAGGGTCCAAAAACACAACGGGATTTGCAACATTTCTTAAACTCGGCGGCACCGCTCACGCAGATCGGCAGGGTCAGGGTTCAAAAACAAAAACGGAATTGCCACATTTCTTAAATTCGTAGGCACCACTCACGCAGATCGGCAGGGTCAGGGTCCAAAAAAACACAAGGGGACTTGCCACATTTCGCGGATTCGGCGGCACCCCTCACGCAGATCGGCAGGGTCAGGGTCCAAAAACACGAAGGATTTGCCACATTTCTGAAATTTCCTGGCACCCCTCTTGCACATCCGTAGGGTCAGGGTCCAAAAACAGAAAGGATTTGCCACATGTTTGAAATTCGGCGGCACCCCTCACGCAGATCGGCAGGGTCAGGGTCGAAAAACACACGGGATTTGCCACATTTTTGAAAATCCAGTGGCACCCCTCACACAGATCGGAAGGGTCAGGGTTCAAAAACACAAAGGATTTGCCAGGAATTTGGCACGCCGCCGTCCTTGACGAGGAAGCGGTTTGAGTTTAATGTGTGCTAAAGTTGGGGCCCTCTTGGGGCCGTCTCGGAGCTCTCTTGGGGCGTCTTGGGCGCCTCTAGGGCCGTCTTGGGGTTCTCTTGGGCAGTCTCAGGGCCCTCTTGGGGCCCTCTTTTTTTTAGTCTCGCGGGCACCAGGCGCTACACGCCCTCCGAGCTCAAAAATAAGAAAGGTCCACGCCACTGGCGCACGGTCGTTCTCGCCCGCATATACTTGGCGGCGCGCACAAGGGGGTGGAGGGAGGAGGGCTTCTTAGAAGGAGGCTGCTTCTTAGAAGGCGCCGGCCTCACAACTGTAGATAAGGCCGGCGGCTTCTAAGAAGCAGGGGTGTTTCTGAGAAACCCTCCCCCCTCCTCCCACCCCCCTCTGCGTGTGCCTGGCTGATATACCCTCTCTCGTAAGAAGGCACGGCGGAGCCGCTGTTAGTGAAACGGAAACTTTCAGCAGCGCCTGCTCTGGCGCCGCCGAGCGTCCACCCAACCGCACCGGCGCACGGTCTCGCACGCGGGGGCGCCGCGGGGACCTGTCGCGCAGAAGCGCAGCCGACGGGAGGAGGACTGAGAGGCAGTGGGGCCAGGAGTGAGGACGAGGATGGGGAGGCAGCAGGAGAAGAGGACGAGGAGGAAGAGGGGGAGGACCATCAGAATATTGAAATTGGCCGACAGAAAAAATCCGCCGGCCTCCTTGTGGGGCCACCAGGCTGTAGGGCGAAGGTTCGCAGTTTCCTGTACCAGTTGCAGCTTCCAGTTTCCACTGTTGCAGCTCTGGTTCTTGCTGCTTACTGTTCCTTGTTGACTTCTTGCTGCTTACCGTGCCTTGTTGATGGACCGCGCGAGGGGGGGAGGCCCAAAACGGGCATTTTGACCGCGGAGAAATCGTATTGTCTGAATTGCTGGGGTGAGACAGAAATTCACACCCCTCACGCAGATCGGCGGGGTCAGGGTCCAAAAAAACACAAGAATTCTCCACATTTCTGAAATTCGATGGCACCCCTAACGCAGATCGGCGGGGTCAGGGTCCAAACACAACGGATTTGCAACGTTTCTGACATTCGGTGGCACCCCTCACGCAGATCGACGGGGTCAGGGTCCACAAGCACAACGGATTTGCAACGTTCCTGACATTCGGTGGCACCCCTCGCGCAGATCGGCGGGGTCAGGGTCCGAAAACCCAAAGGATCTTCAAAATGTTTGAAATCCGCGACACCTCTCACGCAGATCGGCGGGGTCAGGGTCCAAAAACAAAAACGGGATTGCCACATTTCTAAATTCGGCGGCACCACTCACGCAGATCGGCAGGGTCAGGGTCCGCAAAAACACAAGGGGACTTGCCACATTTCGCAAATTCGGTAACAACCCGCACGCAGATCGGCAGGGTCAGGGTCCAAAAACACATTGGATTTGCCACATTTCGCAAATTCGGCGGCACCCCTCACGCAGATCGGCAGGGTCAGGGTCCAAAAACACAAATGATTTGCAACATTTCTGACATTCGGTGGCACCCCCCACGCAGATCGGCAGGGTCAGGGTCCAAAAACACAATGGGATTTGCCACATTTCTGAAATCCGGTGGCACCCGTGACGCGGATCGGCAGGGTCAGGGTCAAAAACACACACGGGATTTGCCACATGTTTGAAAATTCGGTGGCACCCCTCACACAGATCGGCGGGGTCAGGGTTCAAAAACAAAGGGGATGTGCCACATTTCTGAAATTCGGTGGCACCCCTCACGCAGATCGGTGGGGTCAGGCTCACAAGAAAGTCAGTTGGTTCTGCCGATTACGAATCGGCATCGCGTGAAGTTACGGATGCTGCTTCACGAAGGCGCCCTTACAGCGCAGTATATCGCGACTTGCGAACGTGAAACTTCAAAATCAAAATGAAGTGATGGGGAGCCCCGAGTTTCCGTGAGACTGCAGAAGATTGGTCTCCTTACTGCGATCCGAGCGGCGCCAGAGCACCGCTTCCTTTCGATCCTGGAGTCCACGCAGAGTAGCTACCATCTACAGATCCAGGGCTGCGGGGACGTCGGGAGGAGGGAGGTAAGCAGGATGTAGGGTTTTTCGTATGAGAGAGCGTGAGAGAGAGGTACGCAACTTTGATCGCTGAGCTGGCGCAGAGCGATTACGAATGTCAGGCGGGGAGGCATCTCAGAAAAGCATGCAGGACTCGGCGAGCTCTGTCCTCTGGTCCTGAGCTGCTGCCACCACAGGCGTACTCGTTCAGTTGCGCAGCAAATCTTGCTCGTCCTCCACGAGCACTGGCTGATCGGACGCGCGGCTGCGGGAGATACCGACGACCGCACCCATAGCGACGAGAGCGGACACCAATCCGAGCGGCACTGACACCGCAACGGACGTCTTGCAGAGCTCCGAGGTCGGCTCCGCCGCGCCTCTGGAGCGGCAAGTGTCAAGGGTTGGGCAAATGTCCGTGTTGGGCAAATGTCCGTGTTGGCGGCGCCATTGCAGTCGGGGCACTCGGCAACGAGGATGTCCTTCGGAGAGTTCGCGGGAGCCGCGTTATTGTTGGAGCCGAAGCCGACATTGCTCTGCTGGCACCAATACACGAACCTCCCAAGGCAAGTCATGGTCTGGCAAGTGACGGTCTTGATGCAGATGTGATGGTACTCCGGGCTTGTCGTTGGTACTCCCGCTCCACATGGCCCATAAAAAAATGTGTTGTCGTTGACGTTGCCGGTGGTGCACCCGCATGGGAGGTTAACGCTTCCACCGTCTGTCCCTTCAAACGTGGCCCCCTCACCCCCCAGGACTTACTGCCTGCACTCGGCCTCCGTCGGATTTTGCCACTCGCCGGCTGTAGCGAGTTGCGCGCACGTAGAAGTGTCTCCATATGCTTGTAGCGCAACCTCTTTCTATTCCATGGATTTCACGGTAGTCAACAGGCCCGCGAGCGGAAGAGCTCTCGCCATGAAGGCCATGGTTGCGCGAAGGGAAAAGCGCGGAGATGTAAAGCGGGATAGACAATGAAGCCTGCCTCGAGCAAGTAAGCATAAGCCAAACTGTAGCCCTTTTGGCTCAAAATGGCTTAAGCCGAAAGACTTGAGCCGAAATAGCTACGGACCCTCTTGGGGCCCTCTTGGGGCCCTCTTGGGCAGTTTCGGGGCGGTCTTGTCTATGGAATATCATTATTGCGCCCATCTGGGGAGCGCTCATGGAAACCTCTTGGGCCGTCTGGGGGCATCTCGGGGCATCTCGGGGGCGTCACGAGGCCCAGAGGGCCCCAGGGGCTTCAAAATTGAGCGAAAAGCTGGGGGCAACTTGGGCCAGGGGCACCTTGAGCAATCCCCGACCGAAACGTGCTCGCGTCGTGGCAAAATCAGGGCGGGAAGTGCGTGGCCGCTTTCGGCCCCTGGTGGCCCTCGCCGCGCCTCCGGACCGTCAACGAGCGGCCTGGGATGACACGTTGGCCCTGGGAAAAGGGTCAGGACTTCCAGGGGCCCCGCACTGAAAAGATCGGGACTTCGCATGTCTGGGCATCGTCACCCGGCTTTAGGGAGTGGGACCCTGGCAGGTCGATCCGGCTCGAAGAACGGCGCAGAACGATGGGGTCAGGGGCTCCGGTTGCAATTGTTCGCTGTTGGTGTATGGATAAGTGTTTGTAGATGTGCATGTGCATGTATGCGTGAATGTATACATGTACGCATATGTGTGTACGGGTGGATGTGTGTCGTTAGGAATGTGTGTGTGCATGTATGTAAAATATGTCTATGTATGCGTGTGGGTATGTATGTACGTCATGTGCGTATGTATGTATGTATGCATGCAAGTGCGTGGGTTTGTCTGGATGTAGGTAGGTAAGTAGGTCGGAAGGTAGGTAGGTAGGTAGGTAGGTAGGTAGGTAGGTAGGTAGGTAGGTAGGTAGGTCGGTCGGTCGGTCGGTCGGTAGGTAGGTAGGTAGGTAGGTAGTAGGTGTGTATGCATGCATGCATGCATATATGTATGCATGCATGCAGACATGCATGTATGTATGCATACCTGCGTGTATGACTGCAATTATGTATGTATGGATGTATGGATGTATGTATGTAAGAATGTAAGTATGAATGTGTGTATGTGTGTATGTATGTATGTATGTATGTATGTATGTACGTACGTACGTACGTACGTACGTACGTATGCATGTATGTATGTATGTATGTATGTATGTACGTACGTATGTATGTATGTATGTATGTATGTATGTATGTGTGTGTGTATGTATGTATGTATGTATGTAAGTAATGTGATGGATGCATGTATGTATGAAAGTATGTATGTATGATTATGTGTGTATGTGTATGTGTGTATGAAAGTGTGCATGTATATATGTTTGTACGTATGCAAAAATGTGAGAGAGCGTGATCCACCGCCTCTTTACTGTAGAAAATTGCCGCCCTTTTCCTCCGGAACCCGGGGGTCCCCCCCCCCCCCTCCGAAAATCCCCCCCCCTGCTGGAAACCCTCTCCCCCCCCCCCATTTCCCCGGCAAAACCCCCCCTCCCCTAACCCCCCCCCCCCCCTCGAGCTCGAAAACCGGGGGGGGTCACTACTGGTTCGAACCCCCCCCCCCCCTCGAAAACCGGAGGGGGGGTCACTACCGGTTCGAACCACTGAGCTGTCCCACTGTTCCCACCACTGTCCCCACTGTCCCTACCACTGTCCCCACTGTACCTCTTTCCCATTGTCCCACCGCCGTCCTCGCCACCGCCTTCACCACTGTCCCCACCACCACTGTACCCTCCACTGTCCTACTGTTTCCACCACATTCCCACTGTCCCCACACCACTGTCCCCACCACCACCGTCCCCACCACTGTCCCACTGTCCCCACTGTTCCCACCATTGTCCTCACCATTGTCCCCACCACTACCGTCCCCACCACTGTCCCACTGTCCCCACCACTGTCCCGCTGTCCCCTCACCACTGTCCCCACCACCACCGGTCCCCACCACTGTCCGCACCCCCCCTCGGTTTTCGAGGGGGGGGGGTAAGGGTGAGATTTGAGAGTATGTTGCGTGAGGTTTTTCTCATCATCATCATCATCATCATCGTCATCATCATCATCATCATCATCATCATCATCACCATCATCATCACCATCATCACCATCATCACCATCATAATATTGTTCCTCCACCTCCGCATGTTCCTTCTCGTATTCATCATCCTCCTCCACATTTCCTTTCTTTTCCGCGCAAACATAACAGTAAGACATCCGTACAATCAAAACAATAACAAACCCATACACTAAAAAACAATAAGAAATCCGTACACTCAAAAACAAGAAGAAATCCATACACTCAAAAACAATCAGAAAACGTCTTGGGTCCACGAACCCTGTGAGGGTACCAAAAAAAACAAAAACACAAACAAAAACAAAAAAAAACTTGTGAGGGTACCAAAAAAACAAAAATCAATGGTTTTCGTGTCTTCGGGCTTCCTCCGGGCCCCTCCAGCTAACAAATCCATACAATCAAAAACAATAAGGAATCCATACATTCAAAAACAATCAGAAAACGTCTTGGGTCCACGAACCCTGTGAGGGTACAAAAACCAAAAAAAAAACTGTGAGGGTACCAAAAAAAACAAAAATCAATGGTTTTCGTGTCTTCGGGCTTCCTCCGGGCCCCTCCAGCCCAGATCCGCCCAGGCAGCCTGAAGGCACGAAAACCATTGTTTTTTGGTTTTTGGGGTACCCTCACAGGTTTTTTTAGTTTTTTTTTTGTTTTTTTGTTGTTTTGGTACCCTCACAGGGTTCGTGGACCCAAGACGTTTTCTGATTGTGTTTGATTGTATGGGTGTATTATTGTTTTTGAGTGTACGGATTTCTTATTGTTTTTGATTGTAGGGATTTCTTATTGTTTTTGATTGTATGGATTTGTTATTGTTTTTGATTGTAACGACTTCTTATTGTTTTTGATTGTATGGATGTGTTATTGTTTTTGATTGTATGGTTTTTTTATTGTTTTTGATTGTACAGATTTCTGATTGTTTCTGATTGTATGGGTTTCTTAGTGTTTTTGAGTGTACGGGTTTCTGATTGTTTTTGATTGTATGGATTTCGTATTGTTTTCGATTGTAGGGTGTTCTTATTGATTTTCATTGTGGAGACTTCTTATCATTTCTCATTGTACCGGCCCCCTCCTCTCCACTACTTATCCCTTCTCCTCCCCTTCCGTCCTGACCTGGGAAGCGAAGAGGCGGAGGGGGACCAGGAGGAGGAGGAGGAGAGACGATGATGATGGTGATGATGACGACGGTGATGACGATTAGGATTATGATGACGATGATGACGATGATGATGATGATGACGATGATGATGATGGTGATGATGACGAGGGCGAGGGCGATGATGAGAAAGGATGATGATGACGATGATGATGATGATGATGGTGATGGTGACGACGAGGCAGAGGACGAGGATGAGGGGCGACCATGATGATGTTGATGCTGAGGATGACAAGGATGACGAGGATGACGAGGATGATGATGATGATGACAATGATTATGATGATGATGACGACAATGATGATGATGATGATGATGATGATGATGGGAAGGGGGATGGTGAGGAGGAGGACGGATGATGATGACGGATGATGGTGATGATGGTGATGATGACGAGAACGAGGACGAGGACAAATGATGATGATGATGATGATGATGATGACGGTGACGATGAGGAGGATGAGGAGGAAGAGCGAAGATGATGGCAAGGATGATGATGATCATGAAAATAAGGAGGATGAGTACTGATGATGATGACGACGACGATGAGGATCAGAAGCAGGAGGCGAGGTGATGATGATGATGATGTTGATGATGATGATTATGATGATGATGATGATAATGATGATGATGATGATGATGCTGATTCTGGTGATGAAAAGGGGGATGGGGAGGAGGAGGATGAAGGGGATGAGGGGGGGGATGGGGAGGAGGGATGACGATGATGATGATGATGATGGTGACGATGATGAGGATGATGGTGATGATGAGGGGGAGTGACGATGATGATGATGAGGAGGAGGAGGAGGAGGAGTTGGAGTAGGAGAGATGACGATGATGATGGTGATGATGATGATGAGGATGAGGAGGGGGAGGAGGACGACGACGACGAAGAAGAGGGGCAGGATGAGGATTAGAAGGGGACGGAGGCGCTTTGATGCAGTACCGGTTGCATTTTGTATCTGAGCTCTGAGGTTGATCTTGGCGGCGGTGGTAAGACGTAAAACATTTGGTTGCCGTTCTATATCAAACCAGATTGTGTTATTGCAAAGCCAGCTTTTTGCTTACAGCATGGCGCCTTTTTGGATTTCTCGTGGCCGCGGTATTCGCCAGTGCGGCTTCGACAACAAAGCGCGGAAGCACCACCACAACAGCGTGTTTGCCACAGGGCCCCTCGTCCAGTTCCTCACCTACTTGGGCCTCCGTTTGCTCCTGGGTTTCTTCAAAGGCTTTGGGGTGCAATCGCATAGTACTGGCAATAGAACGTGATCCTGCAGACTGGGCGCAACGCCCAGATGGTCGCCGCCGCGTGCACGTCCGCGAAGTTGCTGGCGGGCTGGATGCGGCGGATTCCGAACCTCGATGACTGTCGTCGTGAGGAGCACGAGGTTTTGCGTCACGCGCTCAGCAGCATCGCAGGCAGCCCCCCAGACGTCACGGTGCGGCCGCGGATGCGCGGCAAGACCCGCAAAAATCCCAGCGTCGATGAGAGTGCCTCGGCCCCGGGCCAAGGGGCTTCGGCGGTCTCAGTGGCATGTTTCGATGCTTTTCTTTCCCCAGGGGCGCAGCGGAGCGGAGGGGTCGACGGCTGCCAAAAAGGAAGCATTCGTCTCGGGCCCTGGAGTTCGATTCCCTCCATCGTCCAATCGTCGACCGCCGCGGCTGCGCATGAGACAAGCGCGCTCGAGCGGCGCCCCGAATCGCCCCGACGCGCCCAGAGCAACTCTTGCCCCCCCGCGGGCCATGGCCGCCTGCGGCTGCGCCTTCGGCGGTTTTTTGGTGTCGGTCAACACGGAGACTGGCTGTCGATTTTGGATGCCCGTGGACACCAGCGGCCACGCCCTGGCCGTCGGCTCAGTCGCCTCCTCGACGGGAGAACTGACTCCCGACCGAACTCGACCCTGATGACGTGTGTATATGTATAAGTAATAGCAATTACAATTAAGTTAATGAGAGAGAGAGAGTGAGAGAGAGAGAGAAAAAAGAGAGAGAGAGAGAGAAAAAAAAAAAAAAAAAAAAAAAAAAAAAAAAAAAAAAAAAAAAAAAAAAAAAAAAAAAAAAAACGCTGCATCGCTCTCGTTTCGTCGATCGCTCTTCTCCGCGTCGACGCTCGCCTCCGCGCTGAGGTCATGGAGTTCCTATCCGACCAAGACTTTGCGAGGTGGTTGGTTTCCGGGCGCGCCCCTCTCTCGTGGAAGGCGCGTGGATGGCCAACGAGGCGCCCGCGTTGACGGCCAGTCTGGGTCATTTCTCTGAGCGCCGCCTCAGCCCCGACTGCGCTGTCTCGGCGCAACCTGGCGGATGCGACGGCCGAGAAAAGACTGGGTTGCGCCGCCAGGTGTCGCGCGCGCCTCTATGGCTGTCCATGAGGCGTGGGACCCCCTGTACATTCAGCTGCCGCCATATGAAAATCGGATACATTTACCTCTTCGCAGGGGAGATCATCAGGGTGCCCGACTGGGCAGACTGGTGCACCACGTGGGGGGGGCAGCTACATTTCGAGGGCCCGCGCGCTGCTGCCCGGCGCAGTCTGAGCGGGGCGCTTTCAGGGGAGGGTCGCGCTGCCTTGCATGGCCAGGGCAGCGGTCGCTTCTGTCTCTCGGGGGACGCAGCGGCGCGCAGGGGGTCGACCGCCGCTAAAACGCAATGCTTCATGCTCGGGCCCAGATCCCCCCCCTCTCCTCGGCGCCCCACTGCTATCGCCCGCAGCTGCGCAGGAGCAAAGCGCGCGTGGGAAGGAGTCCGCCGCTCCCTCCATCCCCCCAGTCGGCCTTCAGCAAGGCTGACGCCGACCCCCGCGACGAGCTCGGCCACGCGCGCGCCGAATGTCGGGCGACGCTGCTTCATGTCGAGGAGAACCGATGGCCTAAATTCGATCGGCTCGATTCACTGCTGCTAACTGCCATGCGACCAGGAGAAGCTGGACATGGTCGCGTACCAGCACACTCTCGCCCTGAAGAAGCACTTGGTCTGCAATGCTTTAATGGCGATTGTGCACTGGGATGTTCAGATCCCTGACACCGCACTCGGTCGCGTCGTCTCTTTCCTGACGCCGTCGACGCAGGGCTGGGCCACCCTCCCGAACATGGAGGCGGCCGATAATGACCCCGTGCTTCCATGCGCAGGAGGCTTATAGGGCCTGATTTTCTTTTTGGAGGCTTTGCCGATCCGCCCGCCAGATCGCGCGCCATGCGTCGGCGATGCCGCGTGGCGCGCGGCACCTAGTTCCCCTCGAGTCGCATGTTCGACGAGCGATTCGAGACTCGCCATGCGTCCTGGCGCGCGGCTCCGACCGACGATCTCACAAGAGAAAAGGCAGGAACGGATTTAGGCACGTCGTGCCTAAATCCGTTCTTGTAGTTCCGGGGACCCTGCCAAGGACCAGCTCCACTTCATGCACGGGCACCTGGCCATCGAGGCCGAGTACCCGGTCGACGAAGTAGACATCGAGAGTGACTTGGCTCGCGTGGGGGTCAAGTTGCACCTCCTGCGCACGCAGGACCTTAGTTGTTGCTACAAACGTTGGAGGCGTTCTTTCCGTTTTCCATTTCTCGTTCTTGACTCGACCAACGCGTTCTAAAAACAACACCCTAGCATGTGGACGCCACGCAGACAGCATTGTGATATAACAAACACAATAAAACAAGTATTGGAAACAGAAATCAAACGAGCAGGTGGGCGACAGGCCAACCCCCCGGCTGAGCACGTGCCAGAAACGGTGCCCAAAACAGAAAGAAAACGCCGACCTGGAACACGGAACAAAAACGGCCCCAGCGTAGCGCAGGACTCGATGCTGAGCGCGAGGTACATCCGTTGCGGCAACTTCCACAACGGCGTGGACGCCGCCATATCCCGCCTGAGCGCCATGCGCTTCGGCTGAACGATCAGTAAGCAGAATAGGTCTGTGTCATTCTAGGAATCTGTTCATGGGCACTGGCTTGCCCCTGTACTCAGGTAGTAATTTGCTGGCTCTGTACACGCAGCAATCTGTGGGGGGGGCGCGTTGGCGGCGGGGTCTCGGTGCGAAAACGATGCGCGCGGACAGACACCAGCGGCGCCGCGGATTCGTCGCACATCTGGAGCAGAAGTAACATCAGCAGATCACCTAGTAGAAATAAGCATACGACGCTGCTGTATGCGTGTATGCGTAAGGTCATGAGGATGTGTAGGACAATGAGCAAACGCACGAGCATGACCTAAGTATTATAATAGTAATTGCATGAGTACAAATACGGCCACTACTGCTAGACCTGATATTTCCGAATGCGCGCGCCGCAACCGTGCACGCGAGCAAGCTCGCGCCATGAGATGCCGCGCAGGAAAAAAACGCTTCGGCGCGAGACAACAGCGCACGCCACATACTCTTAAATCTCACCCCCACGGGGGGGGGGGGTTCGAACCGGTAGTGACCCCCCCCGGTTTTCGAGCTCGAGGGGGGGGGGTTCGAACCGGTAGTGACCCCCCCCCTTTTCATGATGAACTGGGGGGGGGGGAGGGGTTCGAACCGGTAGTGACCCCCCCCGGTTTTCCGCTAGCAGCGGTAGAACACGCTCTTTCAAAAATGTAGGTACGTACGAATGTAGGTTTGTATATTTGTAAAAATGTATATGGTCAGCGTGTTCTTGTTCGGCGTTTCGACATTGGGCGGAAAGGGGGGAAGGGGGGGTCTGGCTCTGGACCCCTGCTTCGTGCGACTGTTTGCAGTTGTGCGTCCATTATGGGTAAGGCTCCACCTGCTCGAAACGGGCGCCGAAAACAGCCACGATCCAATCCAAATGAAGGGGAGGGGGTGGGGGTGCGAGGGCCCGCGCCGATCGGCAAAACAATGTATATGTATGTATGTCTGTATGTATGATGTTTGTGGGCATGCATGCATGTATGTATGTATGTGTGTATATGTACGTGTGTGGGTGTGTGTATATCTGTATATATACATATACAAGTGTATATATGTAAACATCGAGAGGGAAAGAGAATGTATACATGTATGTGTGCATGTATGCGTGTGTATGCTTATGTGGGCTAAAATAACAAGGAGAGGTCAGGAGGCCACAAGACGCGCCTAACAGGCCCCAAGAGGCCCCCGAGAGGCCCACAAGAGGCCCTAAGAGGCTCCCAAGAGGCCCCACAACAGCCCCCAAGAGGCCTCACAACCGTCTCCAAGGGACCCCAGAGAGGCATCCCACGAAATTCCAACGAACATCCGCTGCGATGATGCGGGCCGGAAAACCATCCGCACTCAGAGAACGACCTGCTCACCCAAAGGGCGCTTCCTCCTCCCTCCTCCCCCCCCCCGACATCCGACAGCTCCACTGTTGTTCGATGCGTGGCCCCATGGAGGCCTCGACCCGCCTCCTCAGGACCGGCCTGTCGTCCTGAGCCGTGTTGCCGACGGCGGCCCCGAGGTCCGGCGAGGGCCCCCCGAGGCCGAGCACAGCCGAGAGCCGCCCGCAGGCGGGCGGGGAGGCTCCGCGAGGCGCCTCGGTGGCCTCGTCCGCACGCGCCACGGGGGCCACCGTGACCGCCGCGCCGTGCGGTAGGGCGAAGAGGCCCTCGAGGTCGAGGCCCTCGAAGGCGCGGCGCAGCAGGCCTCCACAGACAGGTAGAGAGAGAGCTAGAAAGAGAGAGAGAGAGGGAAAGAGAGAGAGAGAGGTGGTGAGAGAAGGGAAAGAGAGAGAGAGAGAGACAGAGATAGAGAGAGAGAGAGAGCAAGAGACGGAGAGAGAGAGAGCGATAGAGGGAGGGAGAGAGAAAGAAAGAAAGAAAGAAAGAAAGAAGAGACAGAAAGAAAGAAAGAAAGAAGAGAGAGAGAGAGAGAGGGATGGATAATCCGGTGCAGACACGCGCGTCCGAGCGCCAGGCTCCAAGCGCCGCGCGCGGTCGACTCCTCACGTTGAGAGAGAGAGAGAGAGAAAACAAAACACAAAAAAAAAGAGAGAGAGAGACAGAGAGAGGGAGAGAGAGGGAGAGAGAAAGAGAGGGAGAGAGAGAGGAAGGATTGGAGAGAGAGAGAGAGAGAACAAAAAAAAGAGAGAGAGAGAGAGAGAGAAAGAGAGAGAGAGAGAGAGAGACGCGCGGACGCGTCCCGCCCGCACGGGGGGGGGCGCCCAGTGGCTTGCGCGGCGACGCCCCAGCCCCGCAGTGCACCGCGTCGCGTCGGGGAGCGGCCGACCTCGAGAGCCTCGGGACCCAAAGGCACTCCAAAAGGGTCTTTCGCGCCCGAGCCCGAGAGATCTCGAGGTCGATTCCTTGGAGACCCGGGCCCCGTCGACAGCGCGACGCGGACGGCTCGGGCGGCGGCGAGGACTCGGGGGGGGGGGGGGCAGAACAGCACAACATCAAAATCCCTCACGGCATCTCCTCCTCCCCCCTCCTCCCCCCTCCTCCCCCCCCCTCCCTCCTTCCTCCTCTCCTCTCTCCTCCCTCCTCCCTCCCTACATCCTCCTTCCCTCCTCCCCCCTCCTCCCCCATCATCCACCCTCCCTCCCTCCCTCCCTGTGTCCCCGAAGGAGGGGGATCGTATCCACATCGTGAGGGGTGGGCCCACCCCACCCGCACCCTCAATGTCCACACGACCCCCCGAGTCTGGTTCTGCACACAGCGAGGCGCCATCGCCAAGGAGCAAAATCGCCTCTTGGGGCGCAATTGCGGAGTCCGTCTCCAAAGATTACGAAACGCTCACGACAAATCCAGACGCCAAAAGACATCGCTCCAGAAAATTTGAGGGAGTCGGCGGATGTGGTGCAAGCCTCGAGAATCGCCTCTTGGAGCGGCCCCGCCGTCAGCAGATGCACAGATGCCAGCGAGCATGCCTCGGCACACGCGCGGCCGGTCTATAAGGCCACAGGCCCTCGGCCAGGCCGCGAGAGAAGGCCAGGAGGCGGTGGAGCGCACCTCAACGGACTGAGAGAGGCAGACCTGCACCCGCAGGGGGCTCCGATCCACTCCCTCCTCTCTCCTCCCGTCCGTCCTCCCTTCCAACCTCCACACACACACACACACACACACACACACACACACACACGCACGCACGCGCGCACGCACGCACGCACGCACGCACGCACGCACGCGAGGGAGCGAGTGAGGAGGGGGGGAGAGGGCAAGGCAGGCAAGCCGGATGCGCTCGCGTCTCGGTCATCTGACATCCTCCCCCTCCCTCCCATCCCTTCCAATGGCGCTGAGTCCCACCAACCCTTTGGGCGACAGGTGGCCTGGGGGTGATCTCTTTCTTCTTCCACAACCCCTCGTCCCTTCGGGGAGGGGAACCCTCCCCCATCCCCTCCCTGGGGGGTTTTGGGAGGGAAACCGATGTGTCAGAGAATCGTTCGGCCAGTGACATGGCCAACTCTTGACACCCCTCACCGAGGATCGTGGCCCCCGAGGGGGGGGAGGGGGGGCAGACATCGAGGACCCCCCCTCTTTTGACCGACCGCCTCGAGGATGGCCCCAAGAGGCCCTCCAGGGCTCCCAGAAGGCCCCAAAGAGAGACCCAAGAGCGCCCCAAAAGCCCAAAGGAGCCCCCAAGAGGCACCCAAGAGGCCCCCTGAGCGGTCCCCCAAGAGGCCCAAGAAGCTCACCCGAGGCACACAAGACGCCGTTTCGCCCCGGTCCTCCTCCTCGTTCTCCTGGTCCTCGTCCTCATCCCCATCCTCGTCCTCATCCTCGTCGACCTCCTCGTCCTTATCCTCCTCGTCCTGCTCCTCCTCCTCCTCCTCCTCCTCTCTCCTCCTCCTCCTCCTCCTCCTCCTCTCCTCCTCCTCCTCCTCCTCCTCCTCCTCCTCCTCCTCCCTCCTCCTCCTCCTCCCTCCTCCCCTCCTCCTCCTCCTCCTCCTCCTCCTCCTCCTCCTCCTCCTCCTCCTCCCTCCTCCTCTCCCTCCTCATTATCACTCGTCCTCGCTTCGTCCAGATCGCCTCCTCCTCTCCTCATCATCATCATCATCATCATCATCATCATCATCATCATCATCATCATCATCATCATCATCATCATCATCATCATCATCATCATCATCATCATCATCATCATCATCATCATCATCATCATCATCATCATCATCATCATCATCATCATCATCATCATCATCATCATCATCATCATCATCATCATCATCATCATCATCATCATCATCATCATCATCATCATCATCATCATCATCATCATCATCATCATCATCATCATCATCATCATCATCATCATCATCATCATCATCATCATCATCATGACCACCACCACCACCACCACCACCACCACCATCATCATCATCATCATCATCATCATCATCATCATCATCATCGTCATCAGCTTCAGCATCAGCATCACCATCATCAATCAGCATCAGCATCATCAGCATCATCATCAGCAGCATCATCATCGTCATCATCATCACCACCACCATCATCATCATCACCACCACCATCATCATCATCATCAGCAACATCATCATCATCATCATCATCATCATCATCATCATCACCATCATAATCAGCATCCCCATTCCCATGATCATCGTCCTCTTCCTCCTCGTTCTCATCCTCCCCCTCGTCCACATGTTCTTCTTCTTCCTCCTCCTCCTCCTCCTCCCCTTACTCCTCGTCCTCCTCCTCAATCTCTTAGTCCTCGTCCTCCTCATCCTCGTCCTCCTTTTGCTTGATTGCTCTTCTTCCTCCTCCCCTCCTCGTCCTCCTCCTCCTCCTCCTCCAGCTTCTCCTCCTCATCATCATCATCCCCCTCCTCTTCGACCCCCCACGCGGGCCAGGAGATGGTCCCAACACGCCGTCCAGGCCGGCCCCTGTCGCTGTTTGACTATGCGTGTGTTTCCTCCCGCCTCCCCCGTCATCTCTCAGACGCATCGTTTCTGGATGGGGTGGCAGGGAGACGCGAAGCGTCAAGAATTGTCTCTATGCGCGGGCGCGTGTCACAGCCGACCTGCGCCTCGCACACAAAGACCACTTCGTGTGGCGGGTGAGCAGGAAAATGAGCGGGGGAAAAGGATGAGGACGAACAGCAGCATCGGGAACCAAAGCGGGAGGACTGGGAGAGAAAAGGGGACCAAGAATAATCGGTGGAGGGGGAATGAGGGAGGCGACAACGATGAAGAAAGACTCGGATCCAAGAAAGTGACCCGCGCTGGGGCGAAACGAACAACAGCAGGAACTTGAGTGGAAGGAACGGGAGGAACAGAAGGACAAGAGGAAGGCGGAGGAGGGCAAATGATGGGGGGATCAGAATGAATCAAGACTCGGATCCACAAAAGTTGCCCGCGCTAGGGCGAGAGCGCCATTGTGAACGACGGGAACAACGCACCGATCCAAACATGAGGCCCACGCTGCAGCGGGAGCACCATGCTAGCATCGAAGTGTGAAACATTCATAATACAATAAGAAAACAACTGTCGCAACCCTGCGAAAAGACAACAGGCAGGCGGAGGATCGGGAGATCTACTTCGGCGGAGGAGAGAGACTTGGATTCAGAATGCTTCAACGTAGAAAAGGAAGGAAGAGAAGGAAGAAGAAGAAGAAGAAGAAGAAGAAGAAGACTCGGCATTGCGCTGCATGTCTGATGTATCATGCCTGCTGCTGCTAACCGTAGTTTGCAACAAAGCACCTCTGACAGTCGATCGAGCGAGTTTGCGTTCGAGGTCCGGGTAAAACGCACCGTGCAGCCTAGCAGTCGGACGAATGCGAGACCGATCGCAAAGATATTTACCCGTGCAAGCGGGAGGCGAAAACCTCCCGGGCTCCGCAGGAGCCGATGCCTCCAGGACGGCGGGCCCCAGGCAGGCCCCTGGAGCACCCGAGCCCTCCCGAATTCGAGCCCACCCCCCAGCAGGCAAGCAACGACAGACGCGAGAGGAACGACGGGGCAAGAGAGGCGACAGAGAGGAAGAGCACGAACGCGGGAAGGGGAGAGGACAAAGCAGGGGGAGAACAAGCAAGCCGCAACGGAGGGGGGAGTGAGCTCACAGTTCAAAAGCTGCCCTCAAGACCTCCTCAGAGGAGGAGAAGAGAAGGAGGGCAGCGGATGGGCGGTGCCTCGAAGTGCGGCGAGGCGGGCTTCAGCTCCTTCAGACGGGGATGGAGAGGTGGAAGTCGCCCGAGACGCGGGCGTCGCAGAAGTCCCAGTATTGAGAAATCCAAATCCCAACTCCCAGATACTTCGATATGTAGTGAGTTGCGGCACGGCCCGGAAGCTTCGAGGCAGCAAGACGCGACCGTGTGCCAACACATAAGGTGGGCAAGGGCGATCAAGATCCAGCCCAAGCCCCCTGAAAGGCACATCAGGACAGTGGCGACGTGTACCCCACAAGGGGGAGCGTTCTGACAGGGCCTAGCCGATGAGGTTGCAGTCTAGGACTCCAAATATGTAGATGCCTCCACTGACAGAGAACTCAACTCCTTTTGACGAATCCTTTCACGTAGTGCTCCTAGTCTGCACTGCCACGACTCTTGCCTCCCTTGGGTTTGGACCGATCCAGCAGCTTCTGGGCCATCATCTCCAAGTGGCCGACTGGTGCCGTGCCCAACTTGAGTCGACCGCCGAGGTGAACCATTGACCAACGCCTGCTCCAAGAGCAGCTTCGACACCCCAGG